GATGATGATGATGTTAATGTTGATGATGATGATAAATATATTATTGTAAATAATAATAAAATAATAAAATAATAAAATAATATTTTTTCTAATTGAAATTTAATTTTAATCAAAATCTTACAATCGAAAGTAATTAAATTAAAAATTACAAATATTTAAATAATTATTTAGTTTGCAAAAAAAAAATTTTTTCCTAATTAATCCTTCTTGATTATAACATTTTAATATCTTGATTATTATTTTTTACTCTTTGACTACTTTCTTCAATGCTAATGACATTATTAGAACTGAAGAAATTAAGAGAGTAAGATTTATCATTAGAGAATAAATACATCCAAATTCAATAGTTGACTCATTTAATAATGTCTGTTGTATGGTAAAAATAATAATATTGATATTAATTATTATTGGTAATAAAAATTTTAAAATAAAAATTTAACACTAATTACCGTATAAGATGCTCCAAAATGACTTAACATGGTAAATAAAATATAAGAAAATTTTCTCTTGGGATTACTAAATCCTTCAAATGCCGTCATCATCCAAGTTATATGTAACAATATAAAAAGACATGTTGTGATTGCTAAATAAACGTATATATTGTGTGTACGTGTGATGATTTTGAAAGAAAGAAAATTAATTAATATTTACACTCAAAATGATATCCATCCTCAGAGAAAAAAAGGGAAATAGAAAGAGAAATATTGAGAAATAATAATTTTTTTACCTCCAACAAAATATAATGATAGGAATGGGCAGGATTTACACATCAATATTCCAGGTCCAATTGAATATACTAAAAGTGTAACATAAGTTATTGATCCGTTTATTAATCCATATCCTAATCCACATACTATATTATCATAATGTATTAGTAACTAACTGAATAACTTATTGGTAACTTTTTTAATTTTTTAAAAAATTTTTTTTACCAAAAGCAAACGAATGCTCATTGTATGGAGAATTTGGATTCTTGGAAACTAAATTTAATCCATACTTGGCACGTCTATAATTAATATGAAAAAAATTATAATTAAAAATTAAGTTTAACAACTGCCAGATTTCTCATTGAAATCGCATACACACACACACATATATAATTTCACTGATATTATTATATTAAAATTACTTTAGAATTATAAAGAAAAACCATCGAAACAATTCTTGCAACAAGACACTATAGAATATTGTGAAAAGGTTGTTATCTCTTAGAGGTTTAATTATAACCCAAATTATTGAAGCCAAAAATATTGAAATTAGCCAGAAAAATGCACTAAATAAATGAGTTGATTGATCGATTGATTGATTGATAGATTTTGTAAATTGAATGTTAAGAGAGCAAAAAATAAAATATCTTTGATAAATCAATGAATGAATTAATTACCTAGACACCATCAATAATACAAGTTGAGCATCTCTAGCTACATGTAAGAAAAATATACTAAGAGCTGGCCCATACGCTTTATAAAAGTACACTTGTATATTAATAAATCCATTGCTATATTGTTATGATTAACAGACAATCCTTTTTACTAACCAGTTAGTGCACATCCAAAAAATGTTAATAATGTCATATTTTTATTATTTTTTTACTATCCGCAAAAATACTAAAAAGAGCAAATTCGATTATATAAACATTATTATTTGTTTGATTAAAAGCAACAACGTAAACTTTAAACAATAAAGAGACTAACATAAAATTGTGAAACGTGTCTGTGAATTTGTAACCAAATCAGTAAATTTTCCCAAAAAGTATATTTTTTTGTTTCACGGGAATGCTTATATAGTCGAACCTCATCATTATTATAATAATAACTAGTAAGAAACCGGATTATTTTATATTTTTGTGACACATTACTTTGAATTCATCTTTACGAATTGCAGATATTGATGATTGATTTTTGAACGGATGCAGAGTATCTTAGAAGGAAAGATCTGTTGGTTATTCAAACAATAACTGGAGATCGGCAGGGTTTGTTTATGTTCGCAAAAAACGTGAGTTATTGCATGGCTGGAAGCAATCAATATCTTCAGGTTGTTATTCGAGGTGAACCATACTTAATTTATATCCAATATACAGATAATAAATTAAAAGTCACATTACTTGCATACCTTCTTTACCTAATAAAGTTTAGGAACCCCAACATCTGCTGTCATTAATGTCTATGTATTTTATCTTGGAATAATTCTTGGCGTTGTTTGTGATAGAAATCAAACAAAAGACCTTTTATGATTTACCATCTATTATTGTTATTCTCTTGCACAAATTCTCATCAACGATACGTAGGCATTTTCCAGATCCAGTCAAGAATGAGCTTGTTAAAAACTGTAGGGTAGTACACATTTAATCATCTTTGTGTGATTGGTGGGTGGTTCGACAAGCGTCAAAAATTCAGCAGTCTTGGAATCGTGTGGATGCTGCCCGTAATTTTTTTTTTTTTTTTACTTACAATGGATCCATTTTATAAAGGAAGCTTGCTGTCATTTTAACTGTGACAGGATATGACTAGCGATTATGAACCGCAATTAGCCAGACTTGGTGTAACAAGGAAATAAATAGTAACAATTGTTGTTACTTTCCAAATTTCCAAATGTAGAGAGATATATAACGATCGAAGGTCTCGATAGTTTGTACATCGCTATTTGTTTGTAGCACTAAATCTTTAAAAGGTTGTTTTTTTTTTTTAATGCTTTCTAACATTGATTGTATTGTTGTATTGTCGATTTATTTCCATACATCTTTTACATCTACATACATACACCTTTTACATTTATATTAAAAAAATATTGAAAAAATAGAGCAGAGTATGTCGTATCACTTATTATCAAAACTTTCTCGTGATTTGTGTCAACTTCTCGATACTTGTGCATATTATGATGTGTTAATTCGTGTGGGTAAAGGTTCCAGCATCAGAGAATTTCCCGCCCACTCGCTTATATTAAGAGCCAGATCTGGCTATTTTAGAGGAGGCCTAGCTAACAATAAAGTTAAAATGGAATATGATAAAATCATTTTCAACAAGCCAAGCATCACGCCAATTGCTTTTGAAATCATTTTAAAGTAATGACCAATTAATCACTTGTATAAGTTTATAAATTTAAATATATATATATAAAGATTCATTACTAAAATTTTATTATTATTATTGATATTAAAAAATGGATGCATAGATATATTTATAGTGGTAAAGTAGATTTTATGAATATTAATGGAAAGCAAGTACTTGACTTGTTGTTTGCAGCAGAAGAACTTGGATTAATGGAAATATTGGAGTGTATTCAAGATTATTTGATTAACAATCAAACAGCTTGGATGGATAAAAATTTTGTAACATATCATCGAGCAATTTATCGAAATGATTCGTTTAAAACACTACAGGTCTATTACACTGAAAAACTTGCCACTAATCCAGCAGCCATATTCCAAACATTGGATTTATTTAATCCAGATGTTTTGAATGCTCTGGATAATTCAGGATGCATTAGGTTGAATGAGGTATTCTGGGGTTACATTGTTAACTGGTCACGATTTCAGATCCCTAAACTTAATAACGAGGTTACCGGATGGGCAAAGGATGATTGGATTTCGTTCAAGCAGTCACTTAGTCAGTGTATACCATGGAAAAGTATAGATAATATGGAATGGGATGTATTTCATGATTTGATCATTCCATGTGAACCATTTCTCCCCCCAGAAAGATTTGACATAGCATTAAATGCTCAATTGAAAAAATCCTGTGATGCCACCGCAGTCATAAGATCACCTATTTCATTACAATTCAACGCGACCATCATCAATATTTGTCATGCAACCCTGCTCTCCAGTTGGATTGATCAACTCAACAATAAGATTTATCGACCCGCCGAGATACCATACGAGTTCAAATTGGTATTGAATGGTAAACGAGATGGATTCACTCCTGAGGTGTTTCATCGTAAATGTAATAAGATGTCCAGAACTCTAGTGATATTTAAAACTGCCAATTCAAAGAGTGCGCTGTATGGTGGATATAATCCGTTGGATTGGGAATTTGATAGGACGACTAAAGATAGCTTTACATTTCATTTTGATTATAGGAAAGCCGAAATTAATCGATTGGATGGATGTGCGATTTTAAATAAACAAGGGTATGGCCCGTGTTTTGGTAATGTGGATTTATTCGCATTTCCAGATGGAAACCGTAGAATTTTATGGAGAACCAATGATAACGATGAAGGGCTTCTAGTTGAAGATTATGAAGTATTTCAAGTTGTTGAGAAACTTAAACGGACAAATTATGGATCCTCTCTAAGTCATAACCCTCGTAATCATCATGTTCATTCTCACAAAAAAAGATGACGAGAGAGTGAATTTTGTGGGTTTTTTTTTTGGAAAAAAATTTTTTTAATTAATATATACATACATATATAGATTATTATAATATTTATTATTTATTATTTATTTTGTTATAGAATTTGGTTGTACAAATATTATTTAAAAGTACTATATATAATTAAACATTTCCTTTTACACATAATTGGAAACAACTCCGAATGTATATCATTTATTACTATTATATTATAGATCACTCATTAAAAAAATTTTTATTTGCGAGAGTAACAATGAGTTTTATTAAATAAAAAGTACGTTTGTTTACGTTGATAAATCATATATGTGGAAAATTAATAAAATAAATTTATGACTTTAAATTTTGAGTTAATATACCAACCACAACTGAATTCATTGTAATAATAAAAAAGATGAACAATTCAGACGGGGATGTGGACATGCCTCTTGACGAGCTAAGGATGACTGGATCATGTAAGTGTTATTGGGATTTCCTAACAATTAATTAAAAGATTTGATTAACATTGAAAATATATTATTTATCCAGACTATCAAAAAGAGCCACAATTAGCGAGGAAGATAATATACGCATTGGTAGCAGCAATGTTACAAATATTCTTTATGATGACGACTTTTCTATTTTACAATAGAAGAAAGCTCATAATCGACCTTGAGGCAAGATCATTGCGATTGTCGTTAACATTTGCAATATCGAATATAATATTTACTCCAGTTCTAGTATTATATAATGGGTTTTGGTCAAGTTTTCCGTGTTATGTTGTGCTATGGAATCTTCATTTGTCATTTTTGATTTATTCATTGGTAATGGGCGCCAGAGGTGTCCGATTGATATTCTTGGCTAATTTGAGCTATGCAATATTAGATATTTCATTGAAAAAAAATAGACATTCCACGCTACTTTTAAAAAATATCAACGATAATGATGATAATAAGGACAATAATAACAATGATAATGATAATGATGACAACGATAATGACAGTGATAGCAACGCGGTGACTTTTAACGATTATTTGAAATGGTATCGAAGAAAGAAAAAATTTACAACAGATAAAGTGTTGTGTTATGCGATATTTGGTATTGTACTAATCATGGTCATGGTACTAATCGGAATTGTAGTATTCGCTAAAGATGATGAGCAATTCTCGATAAAGAAGTTTGGGCAAGAGCAAAAACAATGTTCGGATGGATTGGAATATTTGCCACTTTATACCTTAATTACAGCATTTATATTCATAGAATGTCCGGTATTGTTCTATTACCTCAAGCCGTTAAATGAAAATTACGGAATAAAAAAAGAAATTTTCATTAATTTGATTACAACTATTTCTTGTCTAATTTTATATTTCGCGACTATTTTCTTGGATCAAGTTGTGAGATTCTGGGGGCCGTTGACATGGCTGAGTGTGGCTTTGTTATGTGGACATGTAAATATAATATTTTTACCAGTGGTAAAATCATACAAGAAATCGAATTTTTTAATTAATTATAGAAATGGTAATCGTAATAATAATAATAATAATAATAATAATAATAATAATAATAGAGACGTGTATGTGAGGAGTATTTGTGAGGAGGATTTAGTTATTGTCGATAATAATTATAGAATTTCATGTGATGTTAAATGTGAAAATTACAATGATAATAATTTCAATGATAGCAATAATGTGAGTAATGATGATGATGGTGGTGAAGGTCGGCTAAGGTTTAGTCAAATTTTAAAAGACGAACGTCTTTTCGAAAAATTTAAAATTTGTGCAGCATCATTTTTTTGTATAGAGTTGATCTTGTTCATTGAAGAATATCAATATTTGAAAAGTAAGGTTTTGAAATATTATGAACACACCAATGATAATTTAGATTTTGTCGCAGATCCTAGACCAATCAAAGACGTAACTGACAATATTCAATCGTCAACACAGCCACCACAGCCACCGCAGCCATCATATCAACATTTTACACCGTGGGAGACTATCATTAGGGGGAGTTCACCTTCGCCATCATTAATATCATCATCATCATCATCATCAACATATTTTTTAAATTCCGCTACATCCTTTTCACCTTTCATAGAAACAATAACAATGGATAATGATTTGAAAATACTAAAAACAATAACAACTGCGCCATCGTCATTGTCATCGACAACGCCACTATCTAAATTCAATAATGAAAATCTCCGATTATCTTCATTGTCACCTATAACAATTTCGATTCCTGAAACCTTGGGCCTTTATTTTAACTCAAAATCAAGATTTAAATCAGATTCAAACTCAAATTCGAATTCAAACTCAAATTCGAATTTAGACTCAAATTCAAACCCAACCTTATCACCACTACCTCCAAAATTATTACCAAAAGAACTTAAACCATATTATCAAAGGTTTTATCAAACGTTCCTGGACCCGTCTGCAGGTTTGGCCATAAATGTGGATGATTCGACATTACGTAATATAAAACGTCAAATTGTAGGCCAAGGAGATTATAATATCGATATGTTTGAACATGCTAGGATGGAAGTCTTACATTTGTTGTATGGTAACACATTCAACACATTCATCGAACAATATTATCGGACTAATATTTGAGCATGTGGAAAACTTTTGTATCATTGGATCTCAAATCTCAATTTAAAGTGGGGTGATACATTTGTGAATTTATTATTTTTTATTATTATAAATCTAGATGCAAATGATATAAACAAAATAATTCGTTGTGTATTTCCTAACTGGAATTTGACGATCGTTTCTAATTGATTATTTGAGTGAAATTGTCACAAAAAATGCAAAGAAACAAATTTAATTAAAATTGGTCGGTCATTTAAAATTATTTATAAATAAAAAAATTTTATTATTTTTTTACAAAAAAAAAAAAATTTCCCCCTGACGTTCCTTTTTTTTAAAAATTTTTTTATCAAATAATTAAATAATTAAAACAATAAAATGGCAAAAGTACTACGTTGGTTCGGAAAGGTAAATAAATAATTTATAACCATAAAAACCATTGTGTGTATATATATAAATAATATTTTAATTTTTATTTTTGATGCTTAGAATGGTAAACGATACGACTATAACAACGACGACGATAATAACCGCACATCATCACCATCACAATATTTAAAAACTAGACATAAGGTGGAATGGATTAAACAGCATGAAACATCGTCTCGTGGCAATTCATGGACGAACAGTAGAGATTTTGGATCGATAATGCAATATCGACAAGAATTTGATCAGTTTGCATGGAAAAAACATCATAGTTTACCAATTCCGCGTGATAAACATAGTTATAATAACAATTATAGTTATCATGAAAGTAATAATAACCATAATAATATTTATAATGTTTATGATGAGGATGATTACCAAAACAATTCATCACCTTTATTGGAAGCTTCAAAAAAAGTCTTGGTTGATCCTAGAAGATTCGCTATCATTGATCCAAATGATGATGATGATGAGGATGATGGCGACGATCATTTTAATCCTAATTCTAATCCCAATAATACTAATATTAACAAACGGAAAAATTCTATGATCGAAGAAAAATTTAATGAACGATTAAAAAAATATCAAGAAGAATTAAAACGAAAGCAATTCCTACAACAAGAGCAACAAGAAAGACAACAACAATTATCACAATCAAAATTACATCAAAAATCTTATTCCATGAATTCAAATTCGTCAAATAATCAAGAACAATTTATTTTTAATTATAACATTAATAACATAACAATAAATAATAGTAATCAAACTATATATGATGATAATAGTAACGGTAATGATGATCATTACAACGATAACATTAATCAACAATACATATATTCGTCATCACCACCAGACATTATTGAAGAAAGCGAAAAAATCATGTCTTCGGATATTAATAATAAAGTTGAGACCCCTGCTAAAATAATTGTTGCTACTAAAGAAAATTTATCTAGAAATAGTAGATCTAGCATTCAATCAATCCAATTACACTCGATTAAGCGTGATACGAAAAGATTTAGCGGTAATATTAACATCATTAACAATAATCATAATGCTATTAATGATGAGATTAATCAAGATAAAATTGAAATTAAAACCATTAAAGAAGATGATGGTGTTGATGATAATAATCATTCATCGTCATCGTCCAATCATGAAAATCACAATCACGTTCGAAATAGAAATTCGTCAAATAGAAGTTCGAATATCCCATCATCAAATACATCAAATAAAAGTCTGAATGGTATACCATCAAGTACATCAAATAATAGAAATTCGTCAAGTAGAAACTCATTAAATAAGCATTCATTAAATAGAGATTCGATAAGATCATCGATATCCGCAACAAGTTCAACGTCACATCCATCATCTAGCAGCGCTAAAACTACCGGCAACGAAAGAAAAAATATAATATTAAAACGTAATTTTGCAAGATGTAATACTTGTAGAAAATCAATGATGGAAGGTGGATACACAACACAATGGTGTAGAGTGTGCGAGTCTAAAAGATTTGAACAAAATTTTGGCACGTGGACAAGTGGTAATGATAATATTGATTGTTTCATTTTGGAGACACAGTTGAATGCTCAGAGCAGGTTTGATTATTTGGAATGGATTCCGTTTGACAAATTTAAAAATATTCAGTATGTTGGAAATGGCGGATTTGGTAGTGTTTACAAGGCTATTTGGTTGGACGGGCCAAGAGAAAAGTGGGATAAAAAAACTTATCAATATGTTTGTTGCGGTGAATGGGTGGTTGCTCTGAAACGACTTCACAACTCAAAATACGTCACCACCGATTTCTTTAATGAGGTAAATGAATACATTAATTAAATTATGATTATTATTTTCATTATTATTGTCGTTATTATTATAATTAATCCCAATATCATCAATATCAATTTATATCACCAACCAATAATAAGATGAGTATACATTTGAGAAGTGAAAATAATAGCGGAAATTATTTTATACGTTATTATGGTATAACGCAAGACCCCAACACCAAAGATTATATGATAGTTGAACAATTTGCTCGTAATGGCAATCTACAATCATACATTAAGAAAAATAGGAAAACTCTAACATGGCAAAAAAGGTTGGATATTTTGTTTAGCGTAGCAACAGGAATCAACAGGATCCATTCGAAAAAGATGTTGCACAGGAACATACATAGTGGCAATATACTTATACATTCTTTAACTACCACTTTGGTGAGTGATTTGGGTTTGAGTTCTCGGGCTGACAAAGGAACATCTTCCACAAACATAAATGACATAAGCGGAAGTCACAAATCGACAACGTTGGAATTACTTGATGAGTCGAACGGCACCTATGGCGTTTTGCCTTACGTTGCGCCAGAGTTAATACGTAACAAACCGTACACAAAAGCATCTGACGTTTATAGTTTTGGGGTGATAATGTGGGAACTAGCTTTTAATAAAAAACCATTTAGTCACCGAGCACATGATATTGAATTGGCAAGAGATATTTGTGATGGAGAGCAATTGGACTGTGAGATGGAAGGAATGCCAGAATGTTATAAAGAATTGATGCAATCATGTTGGAACCTGGATCCATTCAGTAGACCAACGGCCGAGCAATTGTATGTAACGTTGGCCACATGGTTGTGTAAAGTTAATAATAATGTAATCGATGATAGTGGCGTTGCAGTTCAATTCAACAAAGCCGAAGAAATATTTAATAACAATGTTGGCGGCCTAGAAGAGGAAGAAGAGGAAGTGGTTGATCCTGGGGCAATATATATTAGTAGATTTTTGAAATTTTCTGAATTACAAGAACCAACAATTATTTTCACCAGAACAAACGATCCTATCGAACATTTATCTGTAAAAAATCATATTATTCTAGAAACCCAATTGTGTAATCTTAAATACGAAATTTTACAAACTGAAAATACTAAAGTCGCAGCTGAAGTTTATGAAATTTTAAAATATTTGTAAAAAAAAATATATCCATTCATTTAAAAAAATCTTTACATTCATTCATATCATTCATTCATATCGTTTTTTTTTTATTAATTTATTATAATACTTTTTGTAAATTTTTTAAATAAATATTTTTTTAATAGAAATTTTTTTTTGTAGAAATTTTGAGTTGAATAATTTAGTAAACGAATATGTTCCTTTTTGCGTTTTATATAAAATATAATAAATTTTAGTGTCTATAGTTACTTCTATATATATATATATATATATATATATAAAATTCCTGAAAAACAAAAAAAAATTATTTATATTTCAATATTATAATCTAATAATCTACTAGTATATATTGCATTTAAATGTATTGTATGATTAGTATTGATCTTTTTTTGATGACTTTTTTGACATCTTTCTGCCAACTCAAATTCCATTTGAATTTTGTTATGACCACCACCACCATCACCACCATCATCATTATAATTATTAATGACATTATATTTCTTTTTGACAAGTTGATCTAACCAATCCTCTAGTATATTGATTATGACACTTAATTTAGGCCTCCTGTTAGGATTTTCATCTAGACATCTTTCCATTAATGAAACGTAGCATGGAGGTATGTTATCGTTATGTAGAGTAAATTCGGGTCTCAAATTGTTTTTACAAATATCAAATGCCAAATCTGAATCATGCGATCTGTTCGAAAACGGTTGTTGGCCGGTTGCCACACACCACATTATCATCCCAAAACTGTAAACATCTGATGAATTCGTATACTTTTTTCGTTGTCGTCCCAATAAAATCTCTGGCGCTACATATGGCAAAACTCCATATATTTTTTTGTCGTTTATGTTATCATCGTCATCATCGTGGTGATGATGATTAGGTGGAAAATATTGTCCTATATCACTAATACAAACTAGTCCGGAATATTTGTTGTCTAAAAATATGTTTCCAGGATGTAAATTGTTGTGTAGGATTTTTTGATTATGAAGTTTAAATATTCCAATTGCCAAATCATATAATAATTCGATTTTTTTTTGCCATGAGATTGTGTGAGTTCTTGAAATCACAAGATCTTGAAAATTTCTTCCATAGTCCATTACTATTATATAATTGTTTGTTTTAGGATCTTGTGATAACCCATAACAAAATAATATATGGCCATTAGAATTACTTTTAAAATGATTGGAAATCTGTAATAAAAATATACTTGTCAAAATCAAAAACTAATAAATAAATCAAAAAATAATAATATCAAAAATGCATGATATGAAAATTACTTCTTTTAAATAATCATTGGAGATATTTTGTGAATCATTGAGGATTTTCAATACAACTTTTCTAGGTCCAGATCTAATTCTTTGTTGGTTTTCTTCATCCCATGACCATTTTGGTCCCTTGGTCCAATTCGTCATAATCACTTTACTATAACCACCATCGCCTAAATATTGTAAATTATCATTTTCAAAATCTCCAAAAGGTATCCATTCCAAATAATCAGTGTGAGTTCGAGCAAGTTTTTGCGAACTTTTAATCATTTCATCCAATTTTTCATTCCCACTTGTCCATGACTCGAATTGTTGTTCGAATATTTTTGTTTCACAGCTTTGACACCAACTATACCCGGTTCTCGGTTTCTGACATTTCTTACACTTTAGATATGTTCTTTTGCAAAATTCATTGCTCAATTCATCGTTTATTTGATCGGTGGAAATTAATTGTAATGTATTTTGTGTTGACATTTCTTCTTCTATTTCCTGTTTACCTAAGGCAACTCCCATATTTTAATTTTTTTAATTTATAAATAAAAATTTTTAGAATGGGTTTATGCACATTTGTACATTGTATATATGGTGATAATTTTTGTAAATCATTTTTATTATGAACCCATTGATTTAATATTATTATTATGAATCGGAGAAAAACAAGTAAAAAAAAATTTTTTCAATACATGCAAAGAAAAATAATAATTATATCAATAATCTTCCATGTGCACACGCACACACAAAAAAATTTATGTAGTAGGTCAACTTTTTTTCATGCAGAAATTGCTTTAGCAATTTTTTTTCCAATTATTAATATGTCGATCATTTACTTGATTCATATGATCCATAGGGCGGATCATTCAATATTTAGCTTTTGTATTATCCGCTTTGTATATTAATATATTAATATTAATTATTATTGTAATTAACAATACCATACGGATATAAAATCGCATCGCAATAAATATTCCAAGGAATTTTTTATTTGGGTTTCTTTCACCGTGAGTTTTACTATTTTGTTGAGGTTGATTTACTCTAAAATTAAAATAGAATAAATGAATGAAATAAAACGCAAAAAAAAAAATTTTATATATTATAAAAAAAAAATTTTTTTTAATCGTTAAAAAGTAGAATGTTTGAACATGAAAAAAAAAAAAAAGGTCAGAGAACCTTGTCTCATCTAATTTTATCAGACGGCAATTCCTATCGTTTATTCATTTTATAGATTATTTTTCTTCATTCCTTTTTTTTTTTTATTTAAGATGATGATGATGATGATGATGATGATGATGATGATGATAATGATGATTGATGAAGGAATAAAATAATATATAAAGAGAAACTAACCTTTGGTTTTAAATGATTCGTGTAACTGATTTATAAAGTTTATTGGATGAATGTAGGTAGTTCAAGTTGTGAGTGTTAAGACTTAAAAATCTAAATAATAATAAAATATTAATTTAAAAAATTTTTTTAATTAATAAATTGATAATTATTTATACGGGATATGTATACACGTATATATATTTATATTTATATGGAGATCAGACATCCAAGGAAGGGTGAACTTCGCCATCATTAGGTTATTAAACCTTTCGGTGGAAACTGCGAATAGACGGAATATTTTCATCACCTCTCTCACATAAATACATATATATATACACTGTGAATGTGTGCATGTGTGCAAGGTATATTTATAATAATATGAATACACTCACCACCATTTGGAATTAGTTGTAAAAATTATAAAAAAAAGTAAATTTCCTGATTAAAATAAAAAAAAATTTATCTGTCAATTAATAATTATCTTGTAAAAAAAAAATCATCTCCTAATCATCGCTTCAAAAACTATTATTAATAAAATAATATTTGGTACTTCTTACTCATCATACATACATCATTATAAATTACTTTGTTGTTGTTAAGAGAAAGAAAAAAATTTTTTTAGAGAAAAAAAAATTTTTTTTGAGATGACTTGATGATTGGAGAGTCCTCACAAATAAATTTTAGATTATTTCTAAATTTAAAAGTTACTTAACCATGTTTAGAAATGATCTCATCGTAATCAAATCCAAAAATATAAACATTATGACTGGTTGATTAGGTTAGGGAGGCAATATGTGATAGTAAATCTATTATTATTATAGTTTTTGGAAATGCAATCAGCAGTGACGTTAACGGCTAAAATGGATAATAATAATCATTCTAAATATGGTAAAATAAAATTTATTAAAAAGAGATGATATAGAATTAGATGAAAATTAATATGGGGAATTGAACAAAAACAAGGATTGAAAAAAAAATGTTTCAGATTGGAATAAGGATGATTTTAAACAATTAAAAATCTATTGGCTGATGATTTCTATGAAAAAAATCAAGCCACATTAAAAAAGTATTGACAAAGAACTTTATGAAAAAATTCTTTGATATCATCCTACTATTAAATGGCAAACAAAATTATTGCTTCAAAAAGGACCAAGAACAAAGAATAACAACTGTAGTAGAACAAGAAGAATGTAAGAATGGCACTACCAAGCAGAAACCACACGATGGAGATCAGAACTCACGGCAACCAAGACGATCGGGATGTCCGGGATGACCAGCAGTTTCATACTACCGCTGTTTTTAGTCTCGTTTCCGCAGACGCTGTTCATACATCTATTTCGCCAAAATACAACCACAATCAGAGTTACCCATGGTATTAATGAATTTCAAATGCTAATATATGGAGACAAAAATGCTATTTATTTATTTATTTGTAAACTTATTATCATTTTTGAACAACTTTGGACCCTTGCTTGAAAAGCGGGGGAAAAAAATACCACATTAGCCTTTAAAATCAATATTTTTTAAAATAAACGTTAAGTGGTTTTTATTTGTTTTGGTGAATAAGCAAAAGTTAGGACTAACTTCGGGTAACTAGTGAGTGTTAACAACGATTAGTAACATAATTTACTTTGGTGAGTAAGCAGAGGGTAGTATAGACAAAAGGCTGCTAAACAAGCTGCTTAGGTTGTTGTGCAAATAAACCAAAGCGAGTTTGCAATCGGCCAAATAAAATAAACAAGCCTTTGAGCTTTGTAAAGAGCTATCTTTACTTATTTATACCGTTGAGTGTGTTTACAGATTCACCAAAGCTTTCTAGGTACAAAAAAGAGGAAGTAACCGAGAACGAGAACCAAAGTAAATTCGTAAATTGATTAATTGACAAGCATTGAATTATTTATTGTCAATTAAATGACAAGAGTGACCCAAAACTTGAGCCATAATCTGCCATACTTGTTAAATAATCGGCATTGACAAATGTGCTATATACATTTGCACTAGATTTGTTACAATTGAAAATAAAAAAAATTATTCAATGTCTGAAAGTTTGAAAGCATTGGTAAATTAATAATACTGTACAGTTTTTACAAAAATACGGATGCTCTTTTTTATATCCCCAAAATAATAATTCAAACGTGAAATATGTTGGACCAATTTTAAGTGAATCTATTTTATTGATCAAATTATTTTTTTCTGCTAAATGTAATTCTGAAGCAATGTTAATGAATAAAACCTGATAACCGTAAAAAATCACAAGTTATACATTAATTACCTAAATCTTCTCGATATCTAAATTGAATATACATAAATTTTGTCCTTGGGATATTCTTCTTGATATTTTCCTAAATATCATTTTTAGTTCATTTTAATGGTTTCCCGTTCTGAATCAGTTTTGTATGAACTATTTTATTAATTACATATTGATTGAACTCATCATAGTAATGTTATTTTACTAGTATTTTTTACAACTTTAAAAAAAATTATCTCGGTATTAAATTGATTAAAAAAATGCCGATAGGTCCCCATATATATAATATAAATGAACCAATAGTTGTAATTCTCATAAACACGTGCGTTCATTTGAAATTCTCAGCAAAAAAAAATATTCAAACCTTTCAAAATGTCAAATAGTTTTTCGTCCTTAGAAAATATCAACACAATTATTAACAACTTTATCAATTCCAATAAGGATACCTTACCATTAAAATATATTAGCCAACTTGTAAATGATTTATCAAAATTGCTGAATGAACCTGATGCCTATGATGTGGAGATTAGAGTTGGAGCAGAACAGGAGGTTAAACCTTTAAAGCTCATTCAAATATTTTAAAAGCAAGATCTACATATTTTAAAACAGCTTTATCAGCCAACTGGATTAAAAAATCTGGTCATGGGGCTATTTTATTTGAAAAGGAGAATATTTCTCCAAAAGTATTTGAGGTTCTTTTAAAGTAAGATTGATTGATTTATTCATTTTGATTATTTTATAAACAATATTTTAAAATTATTAATTTTTTTCTCCTTATTATTTTAAAAGATTTATTTATAATGGAATTATTAGTATAGATAATCTGAATCCAAATGAAATTCTTGAACTCCTTGAAGCATGTGATGAATTGGACTTTAATGAATTAATTAATGATTTACAAAATTATCTAATTACAAATAAAAAAGAATGGATTCAACAAAATTTAATTTATGTTCAAAAAATTTCATTAAAACATCAATTGTTCAGCATATTGCAGGCTCATTGTAATAAATTAGTTTGTGAGAAACCAGAATTATTTTTAAAATCCAATGATTTCAAAGATATTGATGAATCAGCATTTATAGCCATATTAAAAAGAGATGACATAGAATTAGATGAAATTAATATTTGGGATTATGTTATTCAATGGGGAATTGGGCAAAAACAAGAATTGAAAAAAAATATTTTAAATTGGAATAAGGATGATTTTAATCAATTAAAAATTCTATTGATTAATATTATTCCATTAATTAGATTTAATCCAATTTCATCTGATGACTTCTACAAAAAAATCAAACCATATAAAAAAGTATTGAAAAAGAACTTTATGAAGAAATTCTTCAATATTATCTTACTAGTAAATGGCAACCAAGATTATTACTTCAAAAGGGTCAAGGATAAGTACAACACGGCTCCTATCACAGCCCCTACTACCACCACGGTTCTTATCACAGCCATAGTGACCATTCTCATGGGCAACAATCGACCCACAACACAGGACACTGAATTCTGAATTATTAAATTCTAAGATAATTTTTTAATAATCAAATGCTAGATTTTGCTACAATTGAAAAATAAAAAAAAAAATTTGACTATTATTCAATTATTTGAAAGCTCAAAGCATTAGTTTGCAATGTAAATGGATGACATATCAGATATTAGATGTGCAGTATTTAATGAAATGAATATCAACCAATTGATCATGAATGAATTTCTGAAAAATTTCACCTTTAATATTAATTAATTAGATGATTTTTCAAATTTGTAAATAAGACCAGAACCTATATAAAATATAAATATAAATATAAATATAAATATAAATATAAATATAAATATATATAAATATACATACACACACACACATGCTGTGTTAAAAATTTTTTACCTTCGTTTCCATCATAAATGAAAAAATTGTTAATAGGTAATTCTTTACATGATAATGCTTTTAAAATGTCCTGAGCCAAGATTCCGCCTACAATTGCACAAATTGGTGATAGTTCTGCCGAAAAATTCAATACAAGTGATCTATGCACAAACAACAAATAAATAACTGATAATCTAGTGCAGAAATATAACAGTAGTAACCTTAATAATATCGAAATTGTATTTTACTTTAATAGTTCATCAGAAACGAACGATGAATCAATTCCAACTGATTGCATATATGAATCTCTGATGGATGATAATTTTTCAATATCTTCAGATAATTTTGGTGGATGGTTATTTGCTTGTTGAAATTTCAAAATTACTAATAAATAAATCAAATTAAATTGAGTTTTTTTATGAGAACTCCCATAATTCTAATGATTCTCGATGATTCAATAAATACTTTGTATAGCCCAGAATAAAGGCTTTATTTTTTTTCTTTTAGTAGTTGCCCAATCATTTGATAAAAAGGTTTCAAAGTTTTCGTATTTGGCATTTTTCTTTATCATTTTTATTTCAACTTCATCTTTATGTGGAATAGCCACCCGGCGCTCTCTTAGCACAAATATCACACAAATGGAAAAATTAAATTAATCAGTCAGTTTAAAAAATGCTTTCACTACGACTATTTCTAATAATAATAATAATAATATCTTGGCTTACTCAATAAATTCATGTTGAAGAAGATCACAAAATATATATCCATAAATGCCATATGTGCTTGCTGCATAAAATTTCTTGCCTAATTCATGACAAATCCGGTTAATCTCGATCTGATTAATAATAAATCAAATTCTGAATGTCAGCAAATAAGTAAAAAAATATAATAAATATAACACAAGTATGTGTTAACAAATTACTATTGTATTTGTATCACAATCTGTTAAAGTTATTAAATCAAATTTCTGAAAATAATCTTTAGGCTTGTTACGAATATCATCAGTGTCAGTTGTTACGTTAACACGAGGATTCAAATATTTAACACGATCTGCTGCTGCCAAAGCTCTCTGAAAAAAATATTAATTGTAAGTAAATTTTTTCTTTCAATTCAAAAAAAAAATTTTAAATGAAAAACTTTGTCATTACGTTTTTTCCAATATCTTGTTCACTTAAAAGAAATTGAGCACCTAAATCATTTTCAGTCACCAAATTTTGATCAATTATTGTAACCTTTCCAACTCCAGACAGAACTATATTCTTGCACACTTCATTACTTAAACCTCTCATCCCACATATTAATATTGATGAATTACGCATTCTATCATAATTAGAAAAAAAAAAGATTATAATTTTTATGATTTTTGAAATATTTTTAATGTGATGATCAATTAATTAATATATTTATTTACTTTTGTTGAGCTTCTAAACCCCATAATCTTATTTGTCTATCATATAAATCAGTCTCATCTAAGTTATCATTTATTATAATAAAAATAACGATATTTATTTATGATGTATATAATAAATAAGAATTATTATTAATTAATTACCTTCTGTAATATTTTCTACGCTAGCTTCTTGAATTTGAGAAGTTCCTGATGAAATTTCATCAGAAATTTCTAATGTTGATGTGATTGACATGGCAGACATATTTTAGCATATGTGATATAAATTGATCTAAAAATTTTGTTTATCGTTCGGTCTATTTTTAGAAATTTTGATATTCGGTTTATTATGTTGTAATATGGTGTTAATATATTAATATTAATAAATATAAATTAATTTTAATTCTATATTAGGAGAAAGCATATATAACATAAAAGACAAACAAAGTAACAACATACCTCTCGTACGATTTTGATATCAATATTGTGTGGTATACAATTGTTAGTGAAACATCAACATTTTACATGCGTCAATAATATTATAATAATATTATTAATTAATTTGTTTTGTTTATTATTTAATTTTTCTTGTCATGATTTTTTTTTCCTAAATAATAAAAATAAGCTTTGTTCCTTTTCAATGGTGTTCTTTGATTTTACTACATCACACTCATATCATCCTTTCTCTTTCTTTTTCTCTTTTCTTTTTTTTTCCATTATTCTTTAAATATTTTTATTATATACATTATATAATATATTTATAATATTATTAGAATTTAAACATTCCTTTATTTTATAATTTATATATATGTATAATATATAAATAAATAAATAACATTAATCCCTCTCCTTTTGCTCCCTTTAATTAAAACCCACAATTTCCTCTCACCTTTTTTTATATTTTATATCCCTTGCATTATTATTATATAATTTACAGTTAATTAATCAAATAAAAAAAAAGATGTATACGATAATAAAGATAAGATCTTTAAGTTTTGTATTTTTAGCTTGTATATTAATAATTATTTCAATAAATACAGACTATGTAATAGCACAAAGTAAGTTTCCGCATTAATATACTTTCAATCAATTAATTAATTAATCAATTAATCAATTAATTTATTTATAGAAGATAGACCAACAGCAACTGATAAAACAACAGCAGCAACACCATTATCAATCTCATCAACCACATCAACCTCATCAATCTCAATACCCTCATCAACGTGTGTAGTATGCAATGAAGTAGCAAAATGTACAACAGAGTGTAAATCAGATGAAAGATGTATTACAACTACCAGGACTTGTAAAGCATGCCCGGTTGCACGTTGTGAGCCATTATCATCCAATTCATTACAAGGTGCCAGTAACAACAACACTTCATCTGGGAATTCAGGATTAGTACCGGCCGTAGTTGGCAGTATAGTCGGAGTTGCTATATTAGCAATTTCAGGTTATGGATATTTTGTACTAAAGAAACGTTCAAAATTAAAAGTTGGCAATGATCGCGGCTTGGATAATAGTGCTACTTTTGATGAAAAAGATACAATAACGGATTTTGAAAATGTTATTCCTATTGCATACATACCAACATCATCACCCATAATAACACCTTTATCGCCAACATCACCATCGTTGTCAGATTCACAGTCATATCGACATTCTAGTGCTGGTACTACACCGTTGGCAAGTCCTTTACCAAATCGTAAATTTATGTCAGGTGAACAAATACTGGATATCAATGATGGTATAGATGATTATGATCATTTCCGTGAATCAAATGATGTTGGCACAATTTTACAAGCAACCAAAACTTTAGCAACAGGGTCAAACGCCACCTTCACCACATCAACAGCTGCTACTTTGATGACTGCTACTAGAGTAAAACCTGCTTTAGTACGAATAAATACAATAAAATCAAAGGGTTTAAATGATTCATCCACGTCATTACCATTGATAAAGAATGAATCGTCATCACAAGCTTCTTCTATGAGAAGTGGTAGTACTACTCCAAAGACACCTCTTACATGCAACTCATTTCTAAGTAGCGTCAACTCTTTAATACCTTCTGGACCAAGCAGTCCATCAAAATCGATAAATAATGGATCAGAGATGGTAATTCCACAGATAGATATTGAGAGATCATCGACGGAATCTTCCAGAACAAACATTTCTAACATAAGCTCAAATAGTTTGAATACTAGTTTGAATACAAATTCAAACAGGAATACAAATTCCAATTCCAATTCAAATACATTATCAATATCTTCTGATCATGGATCAGCTTGCTTGGATCCTATAGAGGGAAGACAATCATTTGGATTATTTGGTAGTGATGAGGTGTATGACGATACAGGACCTACTACACCACAAGTACTTCATAGAGAAAGCATTCTAAGTGCCACCAGTTCTAACGGTAGAAGTACAATGTTATCAGACGAAGGTGATGGTGAAATAATGATCTTCTGGGGAGGTGACAATCCGACTTTTGTCGATACCGATAGACCCTCTTCCTCCGTAACAAAAAATAATAGTGAAACTAGGAATAATAGTGAGAGCAACAACGGTAATAACGAAAATGAAAATGATAATAGTGATACAGGACCAACAGATAATTAATAAATCTTTTACTCATTTTGTTATTATAAATAACAAGTATATTATTAAATATAGTATGTATATAATATATTTCCATGTATGTGTATATATGCATTATATTTAATAAATTACTAAACAATAATAATATTAAAAAAAAATTGTAACCTTTAATGTCCTCAAAAAATTTGAATTACAAAGAATTCAGAGTTGGCAGGATCTAGTTAGTTATCTTTTTTAAACTTTATATTAATAATTATCCTACTTCACTTCCCATCATTAACATCTAATCCTCTCGCATCATTCACAAATAACTACGGCATATAATACATAATCACAATCATAATATACATAATGCATACATATACACATACACATACACACATCCAACATATATATATATAATTCGTTTTATTTTCATTTTAATTATTTTGCAAAAATAAATACAATTTTTCAAGGGATGTAAAGTACAAATATACATACGAGCTTTAATTTTGGGAAGTATTGTATAACAAAATTAAATAATAAATAAATAAATAATAATCATAATTAGAAATAATTTGGTAAAACATAATTTAATTTCTCAATCATTTCTTTATTTCTTGCTTCTTGTCTAGTGATACAGGAGTTTTTTGTTGTGTCTTTGATATCGTGAAATTTATTTTCCTTTAATGCAGTTTCCAGATCTGGTAAAATAGCATCAAGTAATTTTTTGGCGTTTTTAGAATTGAATTCCAAGTTTTTAATAACAGTTTCGACATCAACCACGCCCCCCTCTTCATGATTCCAACTATCATAATCTGTCGACATACAAATCATCTGATACGCAATCTCTAATTCTTTGGCCAGTTTTGCCTCAGGCAACACCGACATATTAATAACGTCACAACCCCAACTTCTATAAAGTTTTGATTCAGCTTTTGTTGAGAATGCTGGCCCTTCCATACAAATTATTGTTTTATCACGATGGAAAACCAATTTATCATCCTCATCATTGATATTTGTGCCTTCGATAATGTTTTTATGTCTGTATATTATGTCGGCTAGTTGTTGATTGAATGGATCGGCAAAGGTGACGTGACAGGTGATTCCATCTTCAAAATAAGTAAAAGGTCGTATACCTTTTGTACGATCAATTATTTGTGATGGAAGAATAAAATCTCTTGGTTTTATTTCTTTACGTAACGAGCCAACAGCAGAAAAGGCTATGATAATTTCCACACCTATATGCTTGAGTGCTGCTATGTTTGCTCTAGAAGGTACCTGAGTCGGGTTATACTTGTGACCTTCACCATGTCTTGCCAAAAATGCTATTTTAAAACCACTTGAATCCTTAAATATCGTTATATTACTACTAGGATATCCCCATGGCTATAAACATGAAGATAGACATAATATTATAAGATGAAAGAGAAATAAAAGTTTAAATTTATATGAATTGATGAACAATAGCTTACTGTTTTAGGATAAATTTCTTTGATTAACTCTAAATGATGGCAATGATAAAGACCAGTTCCGCCAATAACTCCAATTTTGACATTTTTTAAATAGTCATTATCATCAACATTGATATCAGACATTATTAAAAAATTTTTTTTTTAAAAATCTATGGAATTAATAATATTAATATGGGGGTCACAAAATAATTGCAGGGGCCAAATTCTAATGCTAATACAGTTACTAACCACGAAGGAATGAGATACAAAAATTTTATCCTAATTTAGTCAGATAAAAAAACAAATGTAATAAAGAATAAAAGTAATATCGATCAATGAGTTCGTTTAGGAAAGTTACTAGCAACAAACCCCCAACTGAGCCTCTGACACTAATTGAGTTAGTCAGTGAATATTTGACTATTGCAATTGCCAAGGACACTCCACAACTTTTACTTGGTCTTTACATTTATTTAGCTTTGTCAAACAAACTTTTCGTTTTTGACAAAACAGCTATTCATAGAAAGTTAACAAGAAAAATTGGTAATAAAGTAAGTGATATCATTATTTAACAAATGCAAAAAAATTGGACAATCATTAATGATTATAACCATGAGTGAACAAGTATGTTGTGATGCGACTTGTAATCAAAAATTATGATTTTGGGATGCTTTCTTCCTCTAATAGAGGTACCAAAGATGGCCCTCTGGTGAGGACTTAGAGGAGTTAAACAAATTTATATTTCGATAAGTTCATTTGCTCTTCTAACTAGTGTGGGAGCTGTAAATGAGATTATCTTTATGGAATATGAATTTATCTCACCACTCCCTCGAACTGGAGACATACACTTTGATACTTCAGTGGGATTAGTTTTTGTGCTGATTATTGTAGCAATTCTCATCAAGAATTGCAGTGGTATCTTTAGATAATTATTGATTACACTATTATGATAAGATAGTCAAAATTTTCTTTTTTTTTAAAAAATAAATAAATAATAATAATATTAACAAGTTAAATGTATATTTATTATTTTTTAACTTGGTTAGAGGATTTCTATCTCAAAAGATGATAGAAAGGATTCAACCACATTTTATGATACATCCATCGGTTTAGAGAGTTGAATTTGATTGGTACTGTAAATAACTATATTGATGCCATAAAGGAAAAGAAAATTTTTTTATATATTTTAGGGCATTGTGAAAAATAATTGTATAATGAAAGAAATAGACCTTGAGATCATCAACAGAAAAATATTTCAAGTTGCAAAATAAAATATCTACATCCAATGTGATATGAACAATAAACTAAGCAAATATAGTACTCCTGAAGAAATTCTTATCAAGTAAGGTTAAGCCTTTATGATAAGAGAAGGGTAAGTTTATAATAAATAACTGTTTTTTTATTTGAAAATTCAAGTAAATTAATTAATTCTAAAATTTATATTTATTAGTTGTATTTAATTAAAAAAATTGAAAAACATTTGAGTAAAGCAAAAAATAAAGTTTATTCAAATGATTAGGAATGGAAAAATAGAATTTGTAGACTACATAAATAAAAATAATGCTGAAAAGGCAAATTTGCTTGAATCAAAAATACATGTTGATCTTCAGACGGTGAGGGCTACAATTACATTAAAAATAAGAATCCATGAATTGGAAATAATCAAAAAAATAACGGGGAAAGATCTCTGGACAAAAGATCTTGATGAATTAGAAAAAATATGGAACACGTTTATTAATAATGACAGAGAGAATATGTCACCACCATCATCTTCTAATACATTTAATAGCAAAAAATCTAGGTCTAAAATTAATACAATTTAACCAAATAATAATGAAATGAATATAAGAAGTGGATTCAAAAAGAAACATGACATCAATAGTTGATGATAAAAAATTGAAATTTGCACAACATAATTAATATTGTTTTACTTGTTTTATGTAATTTAAGAATAAATCTTTATAATCAATTATCTGCATTGATAAAAATTCATTACTATTACTAATACTAATAATGATGTTAAATAATGTTCACTTTGTTGCCCCATATAATGTACAGCATGAACCGGGAAAAATCCAGGTCGGATTAGTGTTAGTAATAGCCATTTTTTTCCGAAAAAGATTTCTGGCCTTAATTATGTGAAGATAAAATTAGCCATACGGAATAAAAAGTCACCGCGTACCATTTATATCCCTATGTCACATTCTTACACATAAAGATCTTTTTTCCTCTAGCTTATTATGGATACATCTGTACCAACTACATGTCTTGCTAGTATATGCTTTAGAAACCTGTTTTCCGTGTTCTTCGAAATTCGAATGAGACCATGTTTCCTATTTGCTTTTCTATTGATCATTAAAACTAGGAATATTGGTTATATCTAAAGTAAACACAAGCCACAATGCAGGTTTTTCATTTATAAGATCACGAGTATGTTTTCTTATTCTTGTTTAAACACGTACCATACAATTACGTTTTTGTCTGGAGTTTTAGTTATTGAGTTACCCCATATTTCTTTATTTCTTGTTTCATCACAGCCATTGTAGAAAAACAAGTAAGACAATCGATTAATTAACTTAATTATGATATTGTTCATAGTGATTATTATGTTAGAAAGTGCGAATACCTAGATCTAAAGAATATTCTTTTCATACACTCAAATAAAACGCCCATTGCTTATTGTTGTCGAGCTAGCCATCACATTCCTTTTTAGCAAAGCGAACAATAGTTGGCCCAACTTAAAATGGAGTGAGAATGTGTTGAGGGGTTTTTATGTATCAGAAGTTATTCTTTTTCGAAAAAAGAAGGTTTGGATAAAATTTACGATTATCTTTGCAATAATTGTTGACGAATTACTATTGTTGTTATTTGTACGACATGTAATGAATGACAATCAGGTTTTTTGCAAAAATAAATGCAAATAAACAAGTTCGCAAACTTGAATTGACTCATTTTGACGTATCATATTCCATTTACACGTAAATTCCAGAATATGGATGTTTTTCAACATATTTATATTTATTATTATTACATGCTTCAACAACCATATTGTAGGCAAGCAACTAACAGTTATTATTAAAATCCAAAGTGTTTATTTACCTTACCACACGCTGTTTATAATATCTTTTTGTTTGAATTTGGCTACAATTGAATTTTAATACTTTTCATTATAACCCGATTTTTCTCCTTTTTCTGCAAATGCAAAACTTTCTTTTATTATTACTACTATTGGTTTCTTTGGTTTCTCTATTATTGTTTTTTTCGTAAAATTAATGTGTGACGAGGATAATAATCATTTTAAGGAATAAATTTTGGTCGTGCCGTGATAGCTGGGTAAAATAAAGTTAACAGAATCCTTTATAATAGGTAATCACAAACAATTCGATCAAGAAGGTAATGGAGGATAAACAACATGAATGAAAGTATCATTTTTGTTAAGATACGAATTGGAAAAACCAAATTTGTTAATGAGATGAGTTTGACGAATTACATTTATCGTAATTATTATAGTTATTATTGAAATTTAAAGGTTGATTCATCACCACGTACGTGCTGAATATCTTGTCTATAAAGGAAATTGCATTGCATATATAAATCTTCAACAAAAAATTAAATACAGTACGTGCATATAAATCCTAATTTATCTTGAATGAATCATTTCAAAAACTTGTTAGTTATCTCTTTAAAATTTTTCAGTGCAACGTTTCAATCAACATCCGAGACTAAAATATGGATTATTCAAGTGCAAAAAAGGTATTTTACTTCCATATTATTCATATTGTTTATACTTTGCTTTATTCATAATTCTCATAAGATGGATAACGATGGTATTGGGTTTGTTTATGTGACAAAGAGGAGGAATGTGACTTTTGTTGTTGCTCAGCTGGTACTCTACGTTGGTTCTTTCTGAGCCAATGGCAAGAAACAATAACATTAAACTCTTGATGATAGCGAAAACAGCCGAATTATCAAGTTCCATTTACGGTAGTTAAATCATCATTTGCAGGAAAATAACAAGTTCTCTCAGAATAATCCGTTAACAAAAGATTAAATAAATTGCTATTTCCGTAAGTAATCGCTGCCTTTTTTTAACGGCTAGACTTTACTATTGTTATTGTAACGAAAAATGTCGATCATAGTGAATTAATTGGGGGAAGTCATTAATATTGTTTATTAGTCTATCTCTCTTCTATAATACTTTAAGGGAGTGTATCAAGAAGATGAGAGTAATCAGAATAATAACGAGAATAACGATAATTTTTATTTCTTGATTTTCTTAAAAAGATCTTCATAATAATAAATAAATTGTTGTTTATATTGAACAAATAAAATAATGTATTATTATATTATTGTGTATATATCCAAATTTGTATATTTGATATGAATATATATTATTATTACTAATTAATTATCATCATTATTTAAATAAATGATTTTTCTTCCTCTCTAAAAATTTTTTTTTTATTTTTTACTATTTATTATATACTAGTTAAACATATATACTATTTTTCCGATATTTTTTTTTAGTTCGATTTTTTTCTTTTTACAAGAAAAGACATGGCATCTTCAACACGCTCAATGAACATTAACAACGAAATGAGTGGTAACCATATAAAAACATACAATCCAAGGAATGAAAATTCCGAGGATAAAAAGAAGAGAATATTAGCTGAAAAAGCTGCTAAAAAACGTAGTGAAGCCATCGATAAAGAATTAAAAGCTGAAAGAGAAAAAGCATTATTATTAAGATCCAAAAGTGCGAAATTATTACTACTAGGTAAAACACATGTATATAAATATATATATATCCATTTATATATTTATTTAATATCTCACTTAAAATCTTCTATTATTATAAAAGGTTCCTCTGAAAGTGGCAAAACAACAGTTTTGAAACAATTAAAAATCATTCATGGACATGGTTTAGAAGAGGAACGTCAACGATATCGTAGGATAGTTCATTTGAATGTACTTACTGCAATGAAATCATTGACAAATGCACTTCAGTTCTATAGTCACACCTTGAAACCAGAGAATGAACCACATCTTGAAAAATTTATTAAATTGACATCGATAAAAGAAACATTGAATCGTGATTCTATTAGTGTTCAGGCTGCTATCAAAGATCAGAAGCTGGATGATAGCGCTTTGGATGTGTTTAACGAATATGCTGAATCCGTTAAAGCATTATGGACAGATCCTGCAATTAAGCTCTGTTATAAATACGCTGGAAAAATTGGTTTACAAGACTCTGCACAATAGTAAGTGTAATTTTTGGTGAATTTTTTTTAGAGGGGGGATTTCTCTCATCTCTTCTCACTATTCATGTCTCATCTCGTTATCCACGCATCTATCCACACATTAATCTCACCTCGCCACCACGTTTCATCCATTCTTGTAGCTTCCTTGATAATATCGATAGATTTGTCGATGAAAATTATTCACCATCAGATTCAGACATATTACAAGCAAGAATTAGAACAATCGGAGTAACAGAACATACATTTGATGTAAATGATATAATATTCAGGATTTTTGATGTTGGTGGGCATCGATCTCAACGACAATTCTGGGCACCATATTTTGATGATGTGGATGCAATAATCTTTATGGCTGCAATATCGGCATATGATCAGACATTAGAAGAGGATGATAAGACTAATCGTATGCAAGATTCGATTGATCTATTTGAGAGAATATGTAATCATAAATTATTTAAAAAGACTGGAATAATTTTGTTTCTGAATAAAATTGATATCTTGACACACAAACTTACATTAACACCAGTCAAAAATTATTTTCCTGATTACGAGGGTAATTGAATATTTTTAGTAGCGTTAAAAAAATTTTTTTTATTAATAAACGTACTAATGGTTTATAATATTTTTATTATTCAGGCGATAATAAATTTGGCAGTGTTGGTAAATACTTCCAAAAAAAATTTTTGAGCTGTAACGAAAATGATAAAAAGCATATTTATATTCATTTCACACATGCTACAGTAAGTCATATTCATATATATTCATGTGTTGTTTCTAATCAATTATTTTATTGTTTATCATTTATATATTTATTTACAAATACATTTCATGTATGTATTTAGGACACAAAACAAATGAGAGTAATTGTAGCTTCAGTGAATGATATTGTCCAAAGAATTAATCTTGAAAAGACTGGACTTGTCTGATCAACTAACCAGATATAATTTATTATTTATATATTTTATTTACAACTACATCTCATGCATGTATTATGATACAAACAAAAAAGGGGCAATTGTAGCTTCAGTGAACGATATTGTCGAAAGAATTAATCTTGGAAAGGACAGGACACAAACTAGACATTTACTTATTTTTATTATACATAGAATAATTGATACTACACACACACACACACACACACACACATATATATATATATATTATAATACAAAATTTAAATTATTTTTTTAAATTATTTAAATATTAATATTGGTTTATGTTTTTCCAGTGAATAAAATTTAATAAAATTGATAATAATAAATAATTTTTTATTTCATGTGATAAATAAAGGACCCTAAAGCATCCAGGGTAAATTTAATTATTTTTTAGGTTCCAGACTTTTTGATAGTATATGGATATATTAATTTTTGTTTAATATTTTGATCTTCGTTCTTAAAAATATTACAGAAATATGATGTAAATGTTTGTAAAAGTATAAAAATAATTAAGTAATTTCCCTATAAAATTTCTCACATTATAGATAAATAAATCCATAATTTTTTTCCCTCGTCGAAAAAATAAAAAAAAATATAACTTCTTTGCGATTAAATAATTAAAATATTTTCAAAATATAACTTTTCAACCTGTTTATTCGTTGCATTAACAGAACTCCTTTAACTATCCCTCTTATAAGATCATTTACAATGACTAAATCAAGAGACGTTATCAGCGAGATAAAGATAGATCATAAAGTAATTACAGATCTTTGGGAGCGATTTCAAACAACAGCAGTAGAAAGTGAAAAACAAAAAATAGCAAACTCGATTATTCGTGAAAGTATGTGTGTTATTTAATCGAATTCTGTTGAAGAAGGAAATCCCAAATTATTTAGATTTTTGCATTTTATTACACGAAAAACTGATAATAAATCTTTTATTTATGAAAATAATAATTTTTTACAGTTGCAGTTCATTCTACTTGTGAAGAGATCGTGTTGTATCCTACTTTTGAGAAATATTTGAAGGACGGAAGTCAATTGGCCGACCATTCACGAGAAGAACACGCACAAGTAAAAAAAGATTTGTATGAATTGGATAAAATGAAAACCAGCGATGCCGGTTACCCCAGTCTTATCGGAAAAGTCATGAAAGTGAGTTAGCTAGCCAGTCATGAAATGCAAGTGAGGGGATTAAAAGAATAAACGCGCGAGAAATATTAATCTTTATTTTTTTTTCGACTTTTTTTAAATAATTAGGAACTGTTTGAACATATTAAGGAAGAAGAGGATACCATCCTCCCAAAATTCCAATCAGCTATTAATCATGATGAATTGAACAGCTTGGGCAAATCATTCGCTAATACTCGTTTAACTTCTCCAACTCATCCTCATCCTAGTGCTCCTGACAAACCTCCAGCTGAAACTATCGGTAAAATTATATTCATTTTTTATGTTTAATATTTTTTTAATCATTATATTTCAATAATTTTCAATATATTTTTAATTATTATGACGTAATTAATTCTTTTTTTAGCCGGAACTGCCGCATTACCGCTTGACAAAGCTCGTGATGCTTCTCGTGAATTCGCCGAGACTATTCGAGAACAACTTGAAAAGGCTTACTAAACAAAATAAAAATAATTTACTAGAACAAATATTTTGGCTGAATATATTATGTAATGATTGCTATATTTGTCAATAAAAAAAATTATTCATTTTAACTGCTAAATTATAGTATTCCATATAAACAATAATATTATTCTATTTTAAGTAATTATTATAAAATATCGCCATTATGCCATTATGGGGGGGTAATGAAAATGACGAGAGCACATATCATAAGAAAAAAGATTTTTTGATTCATGGTTGCTCTTTTTTTTTTTAATAACGGGTTTTTGTTTTCTGCACAAATTTTTTAGTCACGCGAACTCCGTGCAACGTGACATGTGCTCTCTATGTATAATAAGTATGTATGTATTAGTATTGTTTTAAAAGTATAAAAGTAAGCCTTTTTCCTTGAACTTTTTAGTTTAAATTTAATAATTTTTTTACAACATATTAATACACAAAAAGAAAATGCATTTTGTAAATAAAAAATTTAAATATGGATATTCGTTGGATGATGGAACTTCAACAATAGTGTCACCACCTAATTTGAAAAAAATTGTTTTAACTCAACAAAATCCGAAATTTTTATTTTATGGAACAAGAACCGAAATTTTAGAATGGATGGAAAAAAATAAAGATATCATCATTGAGTATGAATCGGATAATTTATCTTCTTCACCAACACCATCAGTATTGTCATCATCAGACAACAATAAAGATAATAACTTTTTTGTTAATTCTCCAACAAAAACTACAATATCCCCAGAATCTACATTCTTGCAAAATTATAAAAACATTGATAATGATAATGCAATAACATTTAATTTATATGGTATAATATCAGATGAACTGGTTTCTTGTAAACCTTTAAATTTTGCAATTAATTATTTAACATGCTTCGATGTGTTGTTGGAAATATTCCCAACTAATTTACTAAATAAAGATTATAAGAAATATTTACCAATTAAAACCACAATTCTACCATCTGGTATGGATTTACAAAGTGTTTCAAGGGAATTGGAAAAAAGTTGGAAACAAACTTCATTAAACAATCATTGTGACAATTTATTATCGAAAAAATATATACCAATAATTAAAAAAGCCAAATCTGCTAATCCTTTTAAAGATGACGAAGATGGTGGAGAAAAAAGAAGAAATAGTTTTAGCGAAGTTGCCAAAGAAAAATCGGAAATGTTTGAAGTGGAAGAAGACATAAATAACTACAGCCATAAGCCATTCTCATTAAGGCAATATGGCAGTAGTAATAATTTATTGGATTGGATCTCTACAAAACCTCCAACTTTTTATAGTCATAAAAATAGAGAAGCGTCAGCTTCTTCAAAATCAACCCCAATTCCACCCGGTATTTTAACACCATATATTATGGATGATATGATAAATCAAATGGAGGATAATCCAAGATTCATTTCTAAAGTTGAAGAGGCAATTAATGAAAATAATAATCATAATAATTATCATAGTGAAGTTGTTAATCTGCCTTTGTACGAACATAGTCATGATGATCTTTTATTAGAACGCGGTTCTTCCATGAAAAGAAATAACTTATTATAACCTTGTTAGTTTATTATTATATTTAATCAATAATTTAATATCAATTTATAATTTATAATTTGTATATAAATCTTAATTTACACTTAATAAAATAAATCATTTTAATGTTTTGATAAAAAGAGGCATTTAATTTTATTTTTTTATTTATTTATGGAAAAAATATTTATGAATGGGAAGGTTAAAAAAACAATTACAAGGAAATAAAAAGTATCATAATTTATTAACCATTGCTGTAGTTTGGCCCGCGATAACCAACATTTCTGTAATTACGTGATACTCCGCGATATCCACCAGGCCTTCCTCTATTATGCTGGCCTCTAAAATTACCATATGATCCAGTTGATGGTGATGAATCAAATGACAATTCAGGTGATGGTGGACGTCCAAAACTTTTATTTGGATTATAACGCGTTGGTGGTCTATTTCTCATATATGATGACGTATTAGGCCTTGGTGAAAAAGAATACCCCTCACCATAATATAATCTTCTATATGGTGGTGGCGGTGATGATGATGGTAATGGTGGTGGTGGTTGCGGCGATGATGTTTGGTTAAAGAATTTATCATTATTACTTGGGAAATTATTATAATGACTATAGTTATTATATCTACGATTCAAATGTGGTGGAGCTAATGGAAATTGATTCTTTATATGTCTATCGGGATTATACCAACTCTCATCATCTTGAGTTTTCCATCTTCCCTGATATATTTTTCTCATTCTTAAATCATCTTCATGCATGCTATTTTGTTTTGAATATTTGGATGTGGTCTCAAGCAATCTGTCAGCCTTATGATCAAAATATTTTTTATCTTCTATCCATTGAACTCTTTTTTCCTCTGACAAATCTTTTACTTCCTCCAATGCAATTTCATATGCTGATGAAAGAGTACGTAAAAATATCGCGTCATCCATATATTTAATCAAAATAAATCCTTTTTTCTCTTTATCGAAATCAATATCTACTGTCTTGTCTATTTTTTCCAATAACCAACAAATATCATTATAATTTTCTGTAGTTCTGGCTTGTTCCAATATCAGTCTGAATAATCTTGTTAAACCAAATGTTTTCAACATTACTTGATTCTCAACTGCATTCTCAAGAACTTCTTTTGCTGTGCTCAAATCACGAAGACTTTGACATGCTGTCATCAAGTATTCAAATGTTGTTGTATTTTGTACCATACCACCTTTTTTAAATTGGCTATGGTAAGCTTCAAGTGTCTTCTTGTATTGGTAAGTGAGGTTGTAGAGTGTAATCACACTATTATAGGCGTTAATGTCAAGTGAGAAATTCGGATATTTTGTCATAACCTGATTATAGTATTCTATTCCCAAATTGTATTGCCTTACTTTAAAACATAAACCAAAAATACTGACCAATACATCATTTGTAATTGGTAATATCAGAGCAGGCTTATTAGATGCAATTGTGGAAGTTGATAAATCTTCTTTTGTTGATTCTGAAGATTCTTTATCTTCTGCAGAAGGTGTGGAAACTTTACCAAATCCATAAGTGTTATCAATAATATCAAAAGCATGGTGCGGATGTTTAGTGTCTTTGAAAACTGAAATCACACCACTAACCAATTCGTTATCAACAATCACTGCGTCATTTGCCTCCTTGCTCTGCTGATCATCATGTTTAACCAACTTGTTCCAAACATCAGTTGCCAATTCATAAGTAGTTTCTGGTTGTTTTGAAGAATTTGCTGAACATATGTTCAAGATTCGCAGGTAAGTCTCTTTGTTTGGTTTCAACCTACCGCTCCTAATCAAATTATCGTAGGTTTCTAGTGCAACATTGAAATTGTATGCCTTTTGACAGGTAGCCAATAGAAGGTTGACATGTTCGATCTCAAGTTTGATATCAGGTCTTGTTTGACTTGATTGAATGATTTGACTGATGATAGATGTTGCTTGTGAGACTGGTTGACCTTTTAAAACTGCTGTATATGATTTTTGAGATGGAAGCATTGAAAGCCGTTTCATCTATATTCATTAGAGAAATATTAAATATTTGTCTTAATTTTTTTTTTTAAATAATAATCATCAAAACTTTTACCTCATTGAATAATATGATTGACATTTTAGATCTTCCTTTATCGGCACATTCAATAATCAATTGATTCCAAGCCTCTGCATTTTTTAAATCAGGATTTTTTTCACTTAAAACCAACTTTATAGCTTCATCAAACTTGTTTTCCCCACTCAATTTAATAACTTTTTCATTTAGACTTTCATGTGACGTTTTTCCAACTTTTGTAGTAGTTTCATTAGTCTTATTAGGATTAGGGGCAGCAGCAACTGCAGCAGTAGCAGTAGTAGCAGAAGGAGGAACATTTGAGTCAATGTTATTACTAGTGTCTGTTTCCACTATTATTGAATTATCGACAGTATTATTTGTGCTAGTTTCTAATATTGAAGCGTCAACAGTATTGATTGTGCTGGTTTCCAATATTGAGGTATCCACGGGACTAATTGTACTAGTTCCTGAGATCAAGTCATCAGCAACATTAATTGTATCAGATTCTACTATCGTATTAGTATTGGGAGTGGCATTATCCAATTCATCTTTTCTAGTACAGCTATTTGAAAATTGGCGTAAAATGACATTGTTATTATTATTATTAAATTTATATCCTGCCAAGTTATTAGTGTTAGTGTGAAAAAAGTAATAATTTTTCCTTGGAGGTATTAATAATGATTTTGATAATAACAAACGTGTTGGTACTTTTTTGCTATTTAGTAATAGAAAACTTTTAGAAAAATTTATAAAAGACATTATTTCTAAGAGGAAAATTTTAATTTTAATAAATGTAGTTAAAAATATTCACCAAGATTATCTTTTTTTTTGATCTGATTTCACTTATTTTAACAGGGGAAGCAAGAAAACCTAGAATGACCCTGGAAATCTTCAATAATTTAAGATGCAATTAATAAATTTTACATTCTCCTTCTCATAGGAACATATTAATTACGCCTAGAATATAATAACATATATTAGAAACCAAATTAAATTAAATTAAGCAACTCCCTTCGATTCAACGTCTAAATCAAAAAAAAAAAAGTTGTGTTGTTCATCCATATCTAATTTATACTGCAAAAAATTGAATATATTTATTCAAGTATTAAAGAAGAAAACTTAAGAAGCAAATTTTCATTATCATTATTTTTATTACTATTGGGGGAACGTTCTTATAATAAATATATGTTAATATGCTATTCGAGTAGTCGGACAGTTATTTATTCTTTATTTGTTCATAAATACTTTGCATCGCGATAAACTTCGATCTTTTACTAAATAACTTTGAGCATTTTGATATAAAAGTTTAGTAAATAGTTAGGTTAATTATATTTATATTTGAATTAATTATCATTGTCATCAATAAAAACCATTAATCACCATTCACACACGTCAATTTGTGGTTCTATATTCGTATTTTGTTCACCAATAAAAATTTGTAGGTAAAAATTTCATGTAACTTACTTTTTCTTTCGATTGGAAAAAATTTTTTTTTAAAACAAAATGAAAAATACCAATCATAACGGAAAGAATAATAATGATGTTGGTAGCAGTACTGCTACAAAAATGGTTACCTCCAGTGGAAAGAAAATAAAAAAAAAACGAAACTTGCTTCGCTTAAGAATTAGAGTTTTGTTTAAGGAGCATGAAGATCGGTTTTTGTTTCATGGAGGGAATCGCATGAGCCTGACAGAGTTTAAGAAACAAGTCATTGATTATAGCATGCGAAGAAACGAAGATGTGACAAAAGAGTGAGCGTAAAATTATTAATATTTATTTATTTAATCGATTAATTGATTAATTTGTTTATTTTTATGTTAATTCAAACCTTTTATTAATAAACCTTTATTATGTTGATATGTCGATGATAGAATGATGGATGAGGTGGCACTTTTCACTGAAGATGGTTATGAGGTGGCTAGATTTGAAGATGAGGCCAATGAACTTGAATTAGAGGATTCATTTAAAAACAATGAAGCTGTAGTTTTCCTTACAAAGCAATCAAATAGTATCCTATACAGATATGACAGAGAATTCGGTAAATATATTTGTTTTTCTTTTTTTACTCTTTTCTATTAGACATAAACAAATGCCTTTTTTTTTTTTTACCATAGATTTAGATAGCCCGTATTCAGAATTGAATGTACATGGAAAACGTGGTTATGATTGTGTTACTGATTTTACAACAGATACAAATGATAACATTCTTCGTGGACCACAAAATGACATGGTTTTGCATAACAATTGGCTAGTTACTTCCATCAATAATAGTGTTAAGACTGACAATGATGAGAAGTATGTGGTAAATTGGCCAAATAAGAAGAGAAAGGTTGATGGTGTGGATGGTGTTAATGATGAAGTAGACGATAGTAATAACGAAAATACAATAATTATTGGCGATGGTACTAATGATGAAGTGGACGATAGTAATAACGAAAATACAATAATTATTAGTGATGGTGCTAATGATAACGTGGATGATAGTAATAATGAAAATATTGGTGATGGTGCTAACGATAACGTGGATGATAGTAATAATGAAAATATTGATGATGGTGTTAATGATGACGTGGATGATATTAATAATGAAAATATTAGTGATGATGCTAATGGTGACGTGGATGATATTAATAATGAAAATACAATAATTACTGATAATGGCATTATTGATGAGGTGGATGATAATAATAATGAAAATACAATAATTACTGATAATGGCAATACTGATGATGTGGATGATAGTAATAATGAAAATACAATAATTACTGATAATGTCACTACTGATGAGGTGGATAATAATAATGAAAATGCAATAATTACTAATAATGGCACTAGTGATGAGGTGGATGATATTAATAATGAAAATACAATAATTACTGATAATAATACTAATGATGGTAGTAATAATGAAAATACCATGGCTATTGATGATAATACTAATGATGAGACGGATGATGGCAACAATGAAAGTATGATAGATGATAGTAATAATGATGAGACAGATGATAGTGATAATGAAAAAGTTGACAGCCAATCTAAAGAATCATCTGCCAGCGGAAAAGAAAATTCAAGTGATTCATCTGATTCATCTGATTCTGATAGTTCTTCTGATAGTTCTTCTGATAGTTCCTCTGATAGTTCTCCTGATAGTTCTTCTGATAGTGAAAGTAAAGATGGTAGAGGCGATGTTGGTAAAGGCAATCCTGGTAAAGATGATGACGACAGTGATGGCTCAACTTCATCCTCAAATACTAGTGATGAAAATGATGACGATGATCATGAAAAGGGAGATAATGAAAAGGGAGATAATGAAAAGGGAGATAATGAAAAGGGAGATAATGAAAAGGGAGATAATGAAAAGGGAGATAATGAAAAGAGAGATAATGAAAAGGGAGATGATGAAAAGGGAGATGATGATGATGATGATGATGATGATGATGATGATGATGATGATGATGATGATGATGATGACGACGACGACGACGACGATGATGAAGATGACGATGATGAAAAAGAAGACGATGATGACGATGATGACGATGATGACGATGATGACAAACAATACACTGATGATCTTGATCATTTAGCAAAAAGTCTACAGACTTTATGTCCATCATTTTATAATAATGGCAAAAAAAGAAAGAAATAAGGGACAGAATTTTGATTTTTTGATATTATAATAATTGCATAATAAATGTATAAAAATATTTATCCCATAAACTGTAATCACATGTTACAAGCTTCTGCAGCATATACAGTTTATGGGATAAAGTTCATCGCAAATAATTTCCTTAACCCGATCTTTCTTATAACTTCCCAGCCAGATACATCATTACCCTGATTGATCATAATGATATTATTATTATATAATGAAAAATTTAATTTGCTGTTGTTATTAATACAAGAATGCCTATTTACTATCATATTAATAACTTATTTCGAAAAATTGAAAAATAAAAATTGCATTATTTAATCAAACTTTAGCAATTGATTCATCATGTTTTCTATTTTAAAACTTTAAACCTTGTCTCGTGTACTATTTAAAGGTTATTCTACGTACCAATATTAATATTGACTAATCTATATTACTAAAGCACATTTTCTATTATTAATATTGTGTGCGTTTACTATTACGCGTAGTTAACTTCAAAGTTCAAAAATATCAAGTTAACACAACTCGTGCGTGTGTGAAAAAGTTGCTCTACATGCCTATGCTTCAAACACGAGTATTAAAGACAATTTGGTTTTATGAAATGTGGTTTGTAAAACTTTTTGCATTTTTATAATGCAAATTTATAAATAATTAGCTTTATACAACCAAACCTCGTTTCAATGAGTCTGGTTAGTAATCGAGTTTCAACGAATTTTTATAAGCGCAGTAATACTTTAAACATCCGTTGATTTATGCAAAGCAAAATCCCAATCGTTCGTTTATCCTATAATTACCAGAAGTTCTGCTCTGCGTTTGATTCCAATTATAATATTTATAATTAAAAATGTTCATAAGAATGCCAATAATTAATATCAATCATCCAATTAAATTAAATGTAATACAGTAAACCTTATTTTATTTTTCGCGGCTTGATTTTTTTTAAATATGAGGACTAAAAACACCAGAGGACGAAAGCCAAGGCCTACTACTGTAGCTCCTATTAATAAAATAAACTTCTCAATAAAAAGAGCCCCACACATAATTGTTAGTGATGATGAATCACCTAACAAAAGAATACGAAACGAGTTGAATAATAATAATATTGATGATGATAGTGATACTGATGCGTCGACGAATGGTAAATAATAATACTATACGTGTTGTGTTAATAAATCAACCATATTTACAGTTATATATATTTATTATTAATATTTATTTAGAGAATTATAAAATGCTATTGGAAAATTACAACAGGCTTGTTAATAATTATAATGATCTAAAAAATGACAACAATAATCTAAGTAATAAAATTGAAAATATGTCAATAGTAATGAATAATTTGTTAGAAGAAATGAAAAGTATTAATAGGAATAATAGTAGTAATGAATATCAAGTTACGGAGAATATTAAGGTAAAAAGATATTTATTGGAGAATGATACTTAATTAACTTTAATTAACTTAATTTTTATTATTATTATTAATATTATAATCAAAAGAGAATAATCAAAGATGCATATCGACGAGACTTGTTTGTCAAAGAGAAATATCCTCAAGATGTAGTTATTGAAAAATTCACTCGTCAAACATTAATGAACAATTTTCCAGATGACGAAAGATACAGTGAAAGAGAGAAGTGGGATGTTGTGTGGTTTACTCTTAGAGGACCTTCTTTAGAATTGTTTAGAATAATTAGAGGGAACGCTGTGAGAAGAATTAAAACTACATTATTTCAAAAATTTAAGAAGTTGGAGGCGATAAACAATGACGCGTCTATGAATCAAATATTGGAGTGGAAAAACAAAAAACCAACAAGAGATGTTCTCTTATTATTAAATGAAATTGAGGAAGATGAAGATCGAACTTATTTAGAAGTCATTACACGACTTGCATTTTCTCATGATAAAGGTAAAGTGAATGGTACTAACAAGAGTTTTGTCTGGGCAATTATAAATGGCTTCATAAGTGCAGATAATGACTCATTGCATCTTGATGAGACTGTAATTATTCCATTAATGGAGAAATATCAAGTAAATTATCATTTATTATAATAAAATTAATTAATTAATAATAAATAAATAAATTAATTCATACATAAATCATTCATTCATCCATTTTAGAGAGAGGTAGATGGTGATAGTCATAATATTGATGTTAAATTAGAATTTTAAGAGATCTGGTTGGTTCTTGTAGATTTATTTGGCACAATTTTTTTAAAAAGTATCATTTTGTGGAATTTTTCTTTTTCTTATAGCAATGGAAATTATTTTTATAGAAACACAACCTTGTTTCTAGTTATTTTATTATTAAAACAAGGATTAAACAAATTATAAATTTTATTGATAATCTTAAGCTATATTTTCTATTATAAATGATAAATGATGAAAATTTGATTGATTTATTCATTACTTTAAAAAGTGATCCCAGATAATCTTTTTATTTGTCTTCTAATTAATCCCTCCCATGCCACGATTTGAACGTTTATTTAATTTAAATCAATTTACTCGATAATGTTTTTAGATAAAATTTACTGATTAATAGGAAGTACACTTGTAAAGAAAGACCTCTCTTTTATTTATTCCTTGTTAAGCCCGAAGAAATGATTTTTTCTTGGCATGTTTAATAAGAATAAACGTCACGTAAAAAGTTTTGATCGTATGTCACGTGTAATGAACTTTATTGCGTCTCGCTTTAACAACTATTATATATAGATAAAAAAGATAAAGATATTATTAATTATTCATTGCAATCAAAATTTTCTCCTTTTGGTTTTGTTCTGATTCTTCTCAAAGAATCCAGTTTATTTAAGGTTAGCAAGCAACCTTTTTCATCAGGAGAAAAATTATAAATGAATTATGCTATACAAATTAAATGAAATTTAATATTAATATGGACATTTTGATGTTCATATTACCTCTCATTGTTTAAAACCTGTTAAAAACTTGTTTAAAAAAATTTTTTTATACAAAAATTTTTTTCGTTAGATAATAAAATTATGACAACAGAAAGTGAGAGTAGCGGTGGTATCGTTAGAATAATTAAAGATTTAGCCAGTGGAACTGTCGGAGGAATTTGCCAAGTGTTAGTTGGGCAGGTAGATTTACAGCTTCACTTTTTCTTGGATTCATTTATTATTGTTATTTTTATTTATATAATTATTATAATTATGATTATTTTTGATTTAAAAAGCCATTCGACACAGTTAAAGTGGTAGGTTAATAAGTATGAGAGAAATGTGAGAAGGGCAAAAGAAATTGAAGAATCCCATTCAACTTCACAATTCTCATAAATCTTGGTAAAAAAAATCATGCATGCGTACATTCCTACATGCAATCATACACACACACATATCCATTAACGCGTGCAATTAACATCTATTATAAAGAGACTCCAAACGCAACCAACACCAAAACTTGGTGAACAACCAAGGTTTACTGGAATGTTGGATTGTGTTCAAAAAACCAAGAAAAATGAAGGATTTAGAGCTTTTTACAAGGTGAGATAAAAGAAACCTTTTACACTCTTTTTCACACCCACACACAAGAAGATTATTACTTATTTTTAACAGATCAATCAATAATTAGGGAACTACAACTCCATTGGTTGGTGTTGGTGCATGTGTTTCCATTCAATTTGGGGCATTGGAATTTATGAAAAGGTTCTTTAACGAAAGGAATGGATACACTGGTGGTTTAACTAGCCCTCAATTATATTTAGCTGGTGCCATCGCAGGAATTGCTAATTCTGTGGTGTCTGGTAAACTTTGTTTATTTGCATGTTTCTTTTTAATTGATGAATTGATTGATCGAGTGTGATTAATCTAAATCTGGTTTAATGAATTTTTTTATAAAGGTCCTGTTGAACATATTCGTACACGTAAGCTTTATCATTCCTTCTTCATCTTTTCTTTTTTCCACTATAAAGTAGTAATGTTAATTCATAAAAGTCTATTATTTACTCAAAAATAGGACTTCAGGTTCAAATCACATCCACCACTGATATTAAACCATCATCAAAAGCAGTTTCAACAAAAATATACTCTGGGCCAATTGATTGCATTAGGCAGATATATTCTTCATATGGCATGAAGGGAATATATAAAGGACAAACCATAACAATGATTCGAGAATTTCAAGGTTATGGTGCGTACTTTCTTGTTTACGAATATCTTTTTCAAAAAGCAATGTCAAGAGAGCAAAAGAAACGCAGCGAGATTGAAAGTTGGAAATCGTGTTTATATGGCGCGGCAGCAGGTTTGCATCATGATTGGTTGTTGTAATAGAAATGTTCATTAATAATTTAACAAATATCAATATTATTATTTAGGATATGGAATGTGGTTGTCAGTTTACCCAGTGGATGTGATTAAAAGTAAAATACAAACTGACGGATTTAGTGGAGAGGAAAGACAATATAAAGGAATAATAGATTGCGCCAGAAAAACTTTTCGCAAAGAAGGAATCAATGGATTCTTCAAGGGTTTTGGTACTTGTATTCTACGTGCTGGTCCTGTTAATGCATCTACTTTTGTGGCATTCGAAATGGCAATGAGAGTCTTTGATAAATTATAAAACTTATTATGTGTGTATATATATATGTGTGTGTATATTTACATATAATAAAATTATTATTATTATAATAAATAAACTTTGTATTTCCAGTCGACTGCTTAAAATAAAATCATAATGATAGATTGCAAATAATAATATACAAACAAATTAAGATTAACATATAACAACAGCAAGATTCAGAAATAGTGTACATCATTTTAAAACAAAATCATCATAAAATTCGTCATCATCTATAATTTCATCAATAATATTATCATAATCGTAGTCATATTCATCATCGTACCCATAATCGTACTCATCACCGTAATGATAATCATAATCGTCGTCACTATAATCAAAGAATATTTCATCATCTGGTACATCAACAAACTCGTACCAGTTTTCCTTCCATGGTATTCCTGTCAACTCACGATTTGAAAGAATATCAAAATCTTCATACAATAAAGTGCTATCGGTTCTAATGTTGACAACTCCCACCTTTTTTTTGGCTCGTTTCATCACACCATCAGAAATATTTATTTCAGATGCCAGGATTTTCAACGTCTTTAGCGTATTACCCTGACGCTTCATTACAACGTTGATATGTTTGTCACTTATACACGGTAATTTTTCAATGAACAAATATTCCAATCCTGCTTCACATTTTGCGAAGAACCTCTCCAAATTTTCAAGTTCACTACTCCACTTTGTGCTAATTATCAAAGATTTTAGACTAACTGGTATGCTGGCTCCAATAAGTGAAAGCGAATCGTCAGTATACTCAAAAGATCCAGTTATACTTAATTTTTTGAGCCTTGTACACGATTCCAATAAACGAAGAAAACAATCTAATAAAGGATTTGTAAATGTTATCGAAAATTCCTCCAAGTTGTTTGAGCATTTTTCAGTAATATTACGGACGACTTGTAAGCAAGAATCTGTTTGAGTATGATCACATTGTAAAGCTCCTAAATATAATTTTTTTAACATCTGACCGTACTTGTCAATCAATATATTCATGGATGAAGGTGGTGGACGTGTATGCCTGAAATCAAGTTCTGTTAGTTTTGGAAGCTGTTTGACATGTAACTGTTCCAATAACTCTTCATCCACATTTTCACAGCCATTAAATGCCAAGTGCTGTAAATTTTCCAAATCTGTTATTCCTTCTAACTCATCCATTTTATCAGATATAAACGTAGCATAATGGAAAACCAAATAAGTTAAAGTTTGCGAATGTTTCCCTAAAGCAGAAACAATAGAATTGTCATACACATTAAAATTATGAAATTCAAGCTTTCGTAATGCCTTTTGGTTAGTGATCAACGTAATCAGTTCTTTTATTTCTTCTTGATCAGAATTATTTACATAATCTATATCTGGACCCTCGACTATTAGTACTTCGATTCTACGACAAGTTTTGGCCATCTCTTTATAAATATTATCTTTTTGAAATTTACCATAACAGCAAAATTCTCTAATCAGCGAAAACGGACTGTTGTTGTTAACCTTGCGACAAAATATTGGTGCTAAAGGTATCATCTGACCTGTTTCAATTGATAAATTAAGAAAAGCAGACGATCTATTCATAAATAATTTACATAAGACATTTGTAACCAGTAGCCAGTCATCAACCGAGAATCTACCGTTCGACCAATGTTCAACAGAGTTGTAAATGTCCAAGTAGTTGAGGGATCTTAAATATTTAGGATAATTAAAAGTAGCTGATTTTTTCTTGAAGAAATGCTTGTTGTATTTTTTAAAAAATTTTCCTTCCTTAACACTAAGTTCCTCCTCATTTATACATGATAAATATGTTTCAACTAACTTTGCAGATCTGTCTAATCTTGTTAGAAGAAAAGGTTTACTCCACAATTTTTCTACTATAGTAAGGCACCATAATTTGTTTATTAATAAACATGAATGTAAAGAAGCCTTGTCATTGTCACTAAGAAAACTTATTACAGCATGTATACAGTCTGAAGGTAAGAGGTTTGTCATTATTGTTATTATTTATGGAAAATTGTTGATGGACAAATAAGTGATCTGTAATAATCAGAAGGTATGGTTGGCTCGCTCCTATTGCTACGCCATGCGGCCAAATTTCAAAATAGGTCTCACGTGATTTTAGTTTCTTACTGTCAAAATTAGATATATACGATAGTCAAGAGCTAGTCTAAATTTGGTACCAATTTCCTAAATTTAGAAATGATCGTAGTGAAAAATTCCTCGCATAGTAAAGTACATTTTTTAAAAAGAATAGAACTCTAAATAATTTTTGAGAAAATCTCTTCATTACATTAAAACTAAAGACATATTCTATCAACTAATAGAGCTATTTTTTTTAAAAGGTAGGACAGAAAGTGACTTCTATACTTTTAAAATTTGCCCAAAATTTAGATCAAATATTCATGATGGTCATGATGATTATTTGATACATTTGATATCATCATTGACATAACAAACAATTGCATCACCCAGGTAGTAATGATACCAAGGCCATGCATAAACAAAACTCTTAACAATGCATGACTACCCAGATCTCTGGGGTTCACAAAATAAATTACTTTTCCTGATTATCAATTATGGTTCCTTATGAATAATAAATCTGATGTTGATTGCAGGTGTCAGATTTAATTAAAATTTTCCTGTCACAAACAAGGTATAAGGTGCTTTCATACCTCCTCGTAACTATGGAATTTTCTTTCCACAGTTGAGGTAATACAAACATGTTGGAAGGCTTTGGACAAAACTTTTCCCTTATCCCCCCCTAAGACCAGGCTTGCTGTCACCATGGGCATTGATCACTGATAGCTGGTGCTTGTGTGATGATTGCTGCGTGTTATTGCCACACTAGCATAAAAGTTGGTGTTAAGACTGGGTTGAAAATTCAGCAACTCAGGAGGTTGCAACCTAGAATGCTGCTTTGGATTTTCCCTGAATTCAGAGTTTTGAGTCCTGGGTTGCTGTAATTTTTATGAAAAGAAAAGTATTAATATTTAACAATTAATTATTTAAATGTTTATTTTGTTGAAAAAAATATACATTGATAGTGTACATTTTCTGTGCTTAACATCCATGTGACCCTAAGTCTGGACAAAAGATCCCTTTCTATGAGTTTGGCTGGTATATCCCAAAGGCATCCCTTGTCTTGTTGGTGGCATGCCTACTCACCAACAACTCTACCCTTATTTACTAAAATAACAAATTCAGTTGGTCAGATAAAAATTAAAGAGAAGCAGAAAATTTGGGAAAATGATTAATTTATAACATAACATACCAAACAAAATCCGAACCATTTTATAACTTCTTTCTTTTTTCTTGTTAGCCATATTGCTGACAAAGATGTATATAATCATGTGATAATTTTAACCTACAGGACAGGGCAAAACCCCCATTCAGTTCCTACCCAAAATCATAAATTGGTTAGCATCAAGAAAACAGAGCATTTACAAAAATGATTGTTATATAAAACAAACACTATTTTACAACTTCCTCTTAACATCAGACCCCAAATGCAATCTCAGGGCCACCAACCCTGCTCTGAATTGCAACCTCCTGTGCTTGAAATGAGCCGCAGATTCTCATTGCTTTGATGGATCTGGATATTTACATGGCACTACAATTCATCAGCAGAATTGCAACTTGATCACAGAGCCATACTTGCCCTAGAGGTAGGATCGTTGCAGGCAACTTTTCGGGTAGCATGCCAGCGGCCTTCTCTGGTCTGGGAAGAATAGTGAAAGCGTCATTGATGATTGATGCAGTCTCGGTAAACTCCAGATCCGCGCGCCTTCTGGAATTCAGTTGCATCATCATATCTTCGGGTCGTCGGGTCAAGATTAGCCTTGTGTACACGAGGAACGTAAGAGAATGACTGTAAGGTGTTCAAGGTAGCGTGAGTGCTTCAACGCTTGTCTAATTTCCGATAATCAAATGTCACGTATCAAAATGTTTCTTCTGTAACAGTCAGCCATGCTGCCTTGACATCTTGTGATTATAGTAATATATTATTAATATTATTTATTACGAAAAGCAAAATATTATTGATGAAAATCTTGTAATTACCAGCAAAGATCTGCTCCGCGTTTTGATTTCCAATAATATATATTTATATAAAATAAAAATATCAATCAATACAAATAAAAAAATAGTACCTCTGGTTAGCTATTAACACGTCTTCTTTAGAAGACCCAAACCAAACCAAACAACAACACTCACGTTTTGTCACCTTGGACTGTCAAAAAATAAATTGTTTTTCCAAAAAAATAAAAAAAAATCAATTCGCGTCTGTCCTACCAAAAAAAAAAACCAATAGCGTGTACGCGTCAATCGTATCACAAACTTCTTTTTCAAAATGTCTTTTGAAAAAAAAAATTCCAATAAAAGAAGTCGTGAAAATTATGTCGAAGAAGAAAAAGGGTAAGTGTTTTAAGGATGGTGGTGATGGTTATCGCCCACCACTCGTCGTCACTCTAGTTTCAAATTAAATTTATATTAAAAAGCCCGATATGTTATAGAAATTGTCTCACCTCTGCTAAATAGTTAGCATCTTTTACTTCGTTTTTACAGAATGACAACAGATCTACCTTTTCGTGTAAAAAATTTCGAGAGTTGGGATATAAATAAAGTTGTTGACTTTCTACGATCAAGGAAAAATACTTTAGGTCTACAGGACAAAGATATTGATATATTTAATAAAAAACAAATTTCCGGTGAATCTTTTCTAGAGTTGACACAAGAAGATCTTAAAGAAATGGGATTAGAGATTGGGCCTAGAAAATCTATCATGAAACTAGTGCCAAAATTGAAAAGTAAATATTAAAAATATCCTTTTACCTCATTCATAATCCACTTTTCGAAAGATTGATTTTGCTTTTTATTTTTGCTTCTTGTAACCACCCTGTTCGAATGAAAATTCCTTTATGCATTTCATTTTTTTCTGATAAATTTGTTATTCGCCTTCTAAAATTTTTTTTTCTTAAATTCTATTGCAGCTATCATGATAAATTGTACTGCAACATACAAGAAAGTCAAAGAAACTTTTTTGTTTGTCACAACATTATATGGATCTTGGTCTTGGTTAGAATTAAGAAAACAGATTAAACTAAAATTCACCAATCAAATCGAGGATGTTGATGAGGATGATATATACATTAAACCAAATACTTATAATAATACAATTAATGACACTGAAGCATTTACTTACTATCTGGAAAGGATCCCGCAAGATAAAGATGGTGCAAAAAATATTACTTTTAACGTAGAAACATGTGGGTATTTTTATGTTGTATTAAAATCATCAATATATAAAGCTAATAGTTATATGATTATTTTTCTAGCACAAATTAATTACTCTAAGTATAAGAAATTATCTGATCTTGATGAGATATTTGGCAACAATATTAAAAGTATAAGCGGATTTAATGAACTTCCTCAAATAAATTTTCGTAAATAACAATTAATGTTCTTATTTTATTAGTATAAGTAATGAATAATTTTTTTTTAATGTTTATTAAAAGCAAGCTATGATGTGGAGGATGAGGAATAACAAAAATTGTTTCTCGTGTAGTAGAACGATTAAAGGTTTGTTAAGCCTTTGCTGTTTATTTATAATTGAGCATTGTTATGTAATGGGCATTTATATAACCAGTTATTCAAATCAGAAACCAATTTCACCATGCTCGTCCCCCTATTTTTATTTATTTATTTTTTTGTCAGTCTCTGGCTAATTGACTTATAATTTGTGTGTATAGATAACATGCTTATATTATTTTACTATTTATTTTCAAGTTATTAATTGCCACTTCAGGGCCAATTGTGGGAAAGAACGAAATGGAAAGATCATATTTCATTGATGCACTTCTTAGAGAAATAGTATTTTTTTTTGGCGAAAAATTTTCTATAAGTCAACAATATAATGTAATTGGTTCTCATGGTGACGGAAGAGTAGATTTTTTAATCATGCATGGTGAAATAATAATTTGTATCACGGAAGCAAAAACAACAGAAATTGAAGAAGGTATGGCACAGAATTTTGTGCAACTACATTCGGCATGTGAGGTAATTCATTGAAAAAAAAGATAATACACATCGAGAACATCTAAAAAAAAAAATTTTAAAATATTATTAACATTGTTTAATTTTAAAATTAAAATACAGAAAAATATCAGGAAAAGAAAATACAGTGCAATCGATGATAAATATGAATATGTTTATGGCATAGTTTCAACTGGTGACCAATGGATTTTTACAATAGTAACATCAGATAATAAATTAGCTGCAGCAAATAAAAATGTTCAGATTATTGGAGTTCATACCAAATATTATGATGAAGATCTTTTGAAGAGAGAGACTTTAAGTTTGGTTAGGGTTATTTCAAGTATTTTAAATGATAGCATCTCAAATAGCAGCCCACAATCTAAAAAGATCCGAATTGAAAAAACCTTATCATTAAATAAGGGTTGATGAATATTCCATTAGCATGACGGGTAATTTATCAAATAAACTTATTAAAATAAAACTTCCTTTATGTGAGTAAGAGGATTCTCCTATTAATTAATAGTCTATTATTATATACACCAAATATTTAAATATTGAAGTTGATAAAAAAGCATTCACAATAAAGAATTTACAGTTGATATTACATATCATTATTACTTCTTTCTTATTTGGATCATTCTTTATATTGTTATTATTGAAAAAAAATTTTTAAATTGTATAAGCAGATTTATTAATTAATTATAATTAGCAAAATAGTGGTGGGCACATATCAAATTAAAAAGTCGTGCGTGATTCATTGGCGTTGTGTGTAAGCAATTTTATTTATGTATTTTTACGTGATCTGATATTCATTTTGACTATATATAGTTTCATTATAGCATGCCCAATTATTAAAACATTTAAAATGATTCAGAAATAAATTATGAAATTAGTATTTTTCATGAAATCAACAAAGCAATATTTTTTCAAGTCTTATAAACAGCAAAAAAAAAAACAAAAATATTTAACGAATAAAGAAATATATTTCTATTTTTAATAGTGCACAATTTCGGTATTTGCGGCGCAGCGGTAGTGATTGCGCGAATTTCAATTTTTTTTAAATCAATATTCTAAACATTGTAGAAAATCATAGTAGTTCAAACTATTAAACACATATATTCAGAATCTTTGAATAAAACCTTCTTAATAAGATCAAACTCAATTCCAATATTAATGAGTATTCATTGGCTGTAAATATCTCCAATAATGCAATATAGTCTACCCCTTTTACACTAAAATTTCGTTGCAACAAAATTAATGATCGGTAAAAAATTTATTACAACAAAGTTTGTAAAAATTGAGATTCAAGTTTAAATATAAACTATAATGAAAAAATAATTATATCTTAAGATTTTTTAAAATGGTGATTATTAGACAAATTTTTTTTCGTATTGTAACAGTTTCTTTTCGTTCAACGATTCCTCCTCTTTAATTTTGCGAACGAAATGCTACATTAAAACGTTTATTTTTATTTTCGATATATTATTATTTGTATTTTGCATTATTTCGTTAGATTATTATTTACACTATTATTTATATTAATTTCTTATTATTATGTTAAGTGCTGCAGCTTTCCGGAAAGTCTATAAGATAATAATTATGATCTATTAATAATTTATTATTTATTTATTAAATGTAATATTAGAATACGAAATTTGTATAAAAAGATAAGTTTTCAGAATTCAATAAAATAACTTTTGTAACTTGTATTTTAATAAAACTTAATTGCGTTTTTCTTTTGACGTAAGGAAAAGAGGGTATAATTTGTGATCCTTTTAAGAAGGAAAGGATTTTTAATAATGATCGGCAGAGTGTGAAATCAAAATTTATGTGAATTTGAAATTCACATACGTGAAATTTCAATTAACCAGTCAATAAAATGGATTCCAACCCAACCCATCAAGAATTTCAAATTCACATACGATATACAAACATTTTAATATTAATAAAAATCCATTTTGTTTTTGCTGCTATAACACCTTATTGCACTTATATTTTAATAAACAAACAGTTAAAAAATAGCCAATAGACCTTTGTAAATTCTTTTTATTAAACTGTCAGAGCCTCTTTCTTATAACTATTCACACACATTATTTTAGAATGTGCTGAGATTATTGGCATTATTATTAAAAAATATTGAAAAAGGATCATGAAATAAAAATTAGTGTTAGTAAAACATGCTGACTAAAATTTTGATCCCTGAAATTCTTGGTAATACCAATGTTCACTTTGTCTTGTTTTGTTGCAGTATGTCCCATATGAAGTTTCATGATAAAGATAATATAATTCATATTTATGGTCTAACACAAGATCCATTTACCAAAGAATATATATTTGTAATGGATTATATGGAAGATGGAAGTCTTCAAAATTATTTAACTAAAAATTTTAAAAATTTAAAATGGAATGACAAAATTAGAATTCTTTATAATATTATTAGAGGTTTAAAAAATATTCATGAAAAAGAAATTATTCATCATGACCTTCATAGTGGTAATATTCTTCAAAAAATCAAATGGGTTTCATATATTGCAGATTTAGGATTATAATGCACATCTAGTCAAACATCATCAGACAAAAATGATATATGTGGAGTACTACCATATATTGCACCAGAAGTTTTAAAAAAGAAATCATATACAATGGCATCAGATGTATACAGTTTTGGAGTTCTGATGTCTGTAATATCAACTGGCCAACAACCATTTAATTATTTGGCACATGATGAATATCTTGCAATGAATATATGTAAAGGTGCAAGACCTGGATTTTCAAACAATACACCAAAATTTTATATTGAGCTAGCATTCAAATGCATGGATGCTAATCCAGATAAACGTCCAACTGCTGAAGAAATTCATAATGTTATTGCTGATTGGTATTATAAAGATATATCAATTAAAATAGAGTTTAAGAAAATGAATGAAATAAAATTTGATCCTTCAACAATTACTGCAGCAATTCATCCAAATGCAGTTTATACTAGCAGATTATTAAATTTTACAAACCTTCCCCAACCTGTGAATTCCAATAAAGTAACCATTATTGATAATAATAATGGTAATTATTAATATTCAATCATTGACTATTTTTATTTTTATTAAATTGACAATATCCACTCTTGTGATAAATATTTGTAGATTCTAAACAAATTGATTTAGCTATACCAGATGGATTACTTTAATAAGTTAAATCCTGTCACTTATTATGTATTATTTCTTTATTTTTATTTATCTGGCTACTATAGTTTAAATGTCTTGAGTAATGATATTATATAATAACTTCTTTGGATTTTATTTTTTCATTTTGAAATTCAGATGTCAGATATGCACACTAAATAAAAAATAATAATTTTTGACAAAAAAATGGTTAAAAATAGAATATAAGAATGACAGCGATTTGGAAAAGATTGAGGAAGGAAAAACAATTAAAATTGCAGTTGACAAGGCTAGAATAAGCGGTGAAGGCAATACTCTACTGGTTAAAGGTGGTGAATGAAATGCCGATAAATCTGTCTGACAAAAGGCCAAGGATATTTCTAATAAAGGAGCCGGCAAAGTTGGAAGAGCCTAAATGTAATTTTTAATAATAATTGTTATCATACATACATAATTGCAGTATTGTTTGTTTCTTATCTTTCCAAATCAATGATTTTATTTTTTTATAGCATTAACAAATTGAAGTGATGTACTATCAATATATCATATAATTTTATAATATATAAATAATTTATTAATATTAAAAACCTTAATTTGTGATTTTTTTATAAATGAGTGATCTGCATTGATTTTAAATAAGGATTGGTGGGGGGATAATTACACTAATAAATTACATATATCTCAATGATCTCCAACCAATTTTTAAAAAATTAAACCAACCCTTATCAAAAGTAAAATTTAATTTCATTAGGTTCAATCATTCCTCATTTACATTATGAAAGCAGATTAGAGAAGAAACCCTATACAAAATCAAAAGGTATATGTTAAATAAATATTTTTCTTATCTCCTCCCTATAAAAATTTGCATTGTTGAACAATGTACTATCCAATATTACTGTATTAATTGAAATATACAAAATGAAAAACACCATATAATGATGCCTGGGAATGAAGATGAAGTAGTTAAAAAAATGAATAAGACACAGTTCACACTTTATATATAATTGATATAATAATAACGGAAAGCCCAATTTACATGTCTATAACAGGTTCTCTCTACAGTCCACTCTCTATAATGTACTGAAAATTTAAGCCCAATTTATGTACATATATAAATTATTATTAATATTATTGTCTATAACAGACATTTTTTCCTAAACCAAATGGTCCATTATAGAGAAAAAAATTAATATAATAAATATTTTCTAGATATTAAATTAAAAATTTTTAATTTTAAAAGGAATTACTTTGAACTGGGCTGGGCTCTCTGTGAAAATCAATTTTCGGAAAGCATAGCAGAAATAGATGCATGTCTGAACAAGTAAAACTAGTGATGTTAGCCGTTTAAAAATCCTTAGCTGGCTAAGCCGTTTACTACCTAAATTGGTAATTATATTTCTATAACCAGAAGGTAATACGAAAATCTATTACCAAATTTAGAAATTATGTATGCAGATTATTAGCCGGCTAACATCACCAAGTAATACAACTTCTAAGAGCCTATTTTTTGTCAGAAATGTAGATAAGAAATGCTTACAGATCTAAAACAAAGAATAGAATCAGTTAAGTTGGATGTAAATGAGTAACACGTTTTAGTAGAGAACATAAAAAAGAATAAGCTGAGAATGAATTGGACAAACCATTATTTTGTATCATGTTGATTTTATACCCATAATCCCCAATCAAGATTGAAATAGTGCAAAAATGGCTTGAACAAAAAAATATTTTTTTGATAAAAATATTCATAACAGTCTGTTTATTGATATCCAAATGTTTGTTTTACAAAATGCAAGTGGAAACATCATGTTACGATAGGATACGTAAGGCGAACTGGATGACTTTTTACTATAAATGTTCCAAATGCGCCCCGCCGATCACTAATTAAAATTCACTCATTCTTAAAAGAATCACAAATTAAAATTTAATACATGTATCTGAATAATTTAAATATAATAAAAATTATACCTAAATTATCAAGTAAAAAGCCAACAAACACAAACTACAGTATACTGATTGTGAGTTTTATTGAATCAAACAATGTCAAACTTCTGGTCTTATTTGGAAACTCTGACATGGAATCTTTGATGTTTACCCCAATAGGAAAGGATACTATGAGTACATTAAAAAATACCACCTTCAATAGATGGCTAGGTCCTGCTTGTGTTGGTACTAGCCACATTGATGTTTGAAAAAAGAAGAAATTTTCAAAATTAGAACCAGATACTGCCACCAAAAATGCAAACATCTATCAAAAACCACAACCTTGCCTTCGAATTTGTCCCCCTTTTTAAAATGAAATAAATGTGTAAGGGCTTCTACAACTTGATAGTGGCCGAAGACAAATGGACCCACTTGCATGAAGTGCCAACACCATGCCAAGCAAACACCCATTGCACATCTACCTGCATTACCAAAATATGCTGGAACAAGTTGTGGAAGGATCCTGAGATGGTGAATTAGGTAAGTGGGAGCATTTCTTCAAACATGTCGAATTTCAAAATCCACATGCATGGCTTTACTTACATACACAATCCATGTAGGCATTCCTGACCCCATCATGGAGAAAATGTTGCATGATTTGTTCATGAAGTATTGCAACCATCAAATGGAGAACCATGTTGCAAAGGGTTCCCACAGCCAAAACCCCAGGTCTAAAATCGAAAATTATTCAACAGCAAAGATAAAAAAGATAAGTAATTGTCCAGTAAATGCCACCCATTCTTTATGTTTTGGTAGATACATATTGAGCCCTTTTTCTTTCAACACCTCATGATAAAGGTTGCAGCAAAATCAGAGCAAAACTTGCTAGAATATTTTACCACATATTGAGAAAGATTCCCCTAAGATACAACAAAGCAATAAATTCACTTAAAAATAACTAAAAAAAAGAACACCATTTCAGAAGCATGTGCAACAATCTTAAGGTTGCTTTTACCTGAGCTTGAGAATCAAGATCTATGTTTCATCTATGTTTAAAAAAAAATCATTTAGAATAATTTAAGAATCTAATTTTATTTCTATTAAATAATTTTTACCATTATTTTTACTTCTGAATCATTATTGTTTTTCTCGAGTTGTATTTCTCCTATATTAACAAAAATAATTGGTAATGATTAGTGGGATGCATATCTCACAATAAAATAAAATTCAAAGTTCACCCTCATTTTTGCTAGAATTTCTATTCGTAAATTCGTAATGCAAATTCTTATTCAAATTATTTTGAACCATTTGTTTATTTCGATTTATTTCAAACCATTCATTTATTTTGAAACATTTGTTCTATTTCAAACCATTTGTTTTTATTTCATTTCAAATTGTTCATTTCATTTCAAATTGTTCGTTTATTTCAAATCATTCGTTTTTTATTTTATTTTGAAATTATTTGTTTTATTTCGAATTATTTATTCGAATAGAAACCCTAGTTTTGGTCGAGGGTAAGGTTTTCTTTATAGTGCTATTATTGCAGCGAGTTCTGGCCAAGTGTCTCGATTTTCTTTACAGATTCATATGCCCTAAAAAAAAAAAAATAGAAATATACTACTTGAGCATCACTACAAGCAATATAGTAAAATCAAAAGGGTTGGCCAAACCATTTAATCACCAGAAAGAATTATGAATCAACCACAATAGCCTTATTAATTAATTATAGTTTTTATTATATTTATACTTCTTGAAGTATTACAAACAACATGACTTTTTACATGATTTTGTCCAATAAATAGAATGATTAATAATGAATGACTAATATTAATTATTAATGTTAAATGCCAAAATGCATCATTATAGTAAGTTTAATTCGTGATTCTTTAAGGAGTGAATTTTAATTAGTGATCGGTGGGGCGCATTTGTAACATTTTTATTTTATAATAACTTCTTTTAATTTTAATTCCGAATTTCGTATCTTCAAATAGTTTTGGCGACCAACACCAATTTATTTGAGAGTACACTTAGAGAGATAGATAGATGTATTTCATTTTAAATCGGTTTTTGGTTTCTGGAATTGGAATGTAATTACCATCAAGGATTTAGAATTAGGGATGTTAAATCACTCGTCGATTCAGCTTAGGTTCAGCTCAATCCAGTTTTAGAATTCAAGCAGATTAAACTTTTTTAAAAAAACAGGCTTTTAATAAACCAATTCGAAATATAAGTTATGTAATATAATTATATAAATATTCTTAAGTATGCTATTTAGAGCTAAATGGATTTGGCTTCAAATCTGTAAACAATCATATTGTTTTTATCGTTATGCACATTTGGCAATTCATATTTTTATCGTTATACTTTTACTTACTATTAATTTTTTTGAGCGCGTGCTTCGAGCATACTCTGCTAATAAATCAGAATATTTATGACGTAATTGATAAAGCAAGTTTGAAGCATATTTCGAGCGGATATTAAAAATACCAAATTGAATATGTGTTTAAGCTCAATTCAATTATGCTCAAATAACATTCCTAAAAAAAAAATTTAATATTAATTTTTAAAGAGCGAATTTAATTGATGCTAATAAAAATAATAGGTTATAAGGATCAAACTTAATAGGTATTTACTAGTGAATAGTTCTCAAGTCGAATACTTGTAAACAATAAATAAAAAAAAAATATTTTTATTAAAAAAACTTATTATGATTAAAATTTTTTATTGGCCATGAATTCACACAAGTATATTTTAATCACGTGATTAATTGATGACATCTATATTTTTTACCACTTTACATGTTATTATACAAATATACTGCAACTTTATGTCGTTTACTATCTTCATCATCATCATCTGTTAAATTGACAATTTCTTCTAATTTTACTCTAAAAATTAACAATTTTTTAACTTGTGGCTTTTTTGTTTGTAAAAGTATGTTCATATAGTTCTTCTGCATCTAATCTTTTATAGCAACCAGTGCAAGCAACTTTCGCTTGCATAATACTTTGTCAGACGATAGTTTTTGGCTTTACCATAATTGGTTTCGATGAGAATTTGCGAAATAAATAAACCAACTAATATTAATGCAAATTTATTTTACCCAGTTCAATTACCAATGTTAATTCGAACATATATTTACCTTTTCATGCTTCCCGAAAAATTAGTTTAGTAAAACTCATGAATGAGATACTTTTTCTGCAATTTAACAATCAATAATCAATAGTAAATACCATAAAAAATTTTCATTTTGAAAAAGAGTTTGTTGAATTTTATTGAACGGAACCCAATTCCGATGCACATCAACTATTTGTTACATCGGAACTTTTTCTTGATGTTTGTAATATGGAATAAATAATAGCGGAAATTTTTATTTTCATTTCATATTATATAAAAAGGTTTTCTTTTTTCCAATCGTAAGTTTTTTTTACTCCATTAAAACAAAATTTGTTTATATTCTTTTATTTATTTATTAAATCTTGACATTTATAAAATGTTGTATAACGAAGACAACCGCAGCAACAATGAAAAGTTAGAGCAATTGACAAAACAACACAGATCTAATTCGAAAAAATTAATTCGGATAAAACAAATAATTAAGGTCCAGTTTAAATTCAAGCTCACCGGAAAGACATGTATCTTGTTTCATTCTTTCCTTATTAGTTCATTTTTAATTTCAATTTTTATAATAATAAAATCAATATTAAACTTTAAATAATTTGAATAAAACAAATAATTTGAATAA